GTTATACTCATCAAGACCTTTCATTTGATTACCCACATCCTTATATCTTTAAAATATATGTTATATATATATGTATATATGAAAAATATATAAAAAATGCATGTGGGTACTCAAATGAAAGCTCTTGATGAGTGGAACATCGGGATGAGCTAATATCTTTAAAAACGTCAATAGTTAAAAAAGTACAGTGCAATTTAACAAAAGTCATTATTTAATAAAGCAAAATTTTATTTACTCATTAGTTTACAAGTCACGGCAATCACATAGTGACTGCAAATTTTTTTATTAAAAAAATTTCTTAATTAATTTATTTTCCGTGCATATAAAAAAAATATCAATTACTCTTTTTTAAATCAGGCCACCGATTAGTTACTAATAGAATTTTTTTCTTATAAAAATGACTCGAGACACGTTAACAAAAGCAATGACCCTAAAACAAGCGCCGTCACAATACTCGAGAGTAACTAATAGAGAAAAAAAAAAAACATAAATAGCTGGACTAGCTCTCACAATGCAGTTAATAATAATGTCCAATGTCTGAAAGTAGAGTCTAGCTGGCGGGTAATTATTTTTTACCAATTCGTCATGTTTACCGTCGAGAGAATTTTTAAATAATTAATCATGTTTCCACGTGTCATAACGTGTTTGTTAGCAATTGGCTACTAACTAATTTTATATCTCGGTGAATACGCGTGTGTTCATGTTTATGCTCGGTACAGGTTCATGCTCCTCTACCTACTGATGTGTGCTTGTGTGTAATCCGGCATACAATGTAGATAGTGTATAGCACAGCGGCGCAATACATAAAAAAGCAAATACATTACCACGCAAACGAAATTACATTTGTACACTTGACGTCATTTATCTTTACCGTGTTATTGTATTTATTTTGTTGTAACAAAACTTTGTGTAACTTTTTAAATGTATTTATTCCTACAAAATATACATTTGTTATTTATATTAATATTAATATATATTTGTGTACTAAGTACAATAATACATGCATGTATATTTATAAAGGATATTTGTTAACGTGCAAGCCACACGTGACAAACCCAGTGTTAGATTATTTAATGGATAAAAAAAGTAGTGTACTATTGTGTTGTGAGTTAAGGGTTGGTGTGTATTGTACCGGTGCACTACATAAATAGTCTCCATAAATTATTCCCTCTGGTAATGGAATTAGCTTGAACCAACGTTTTACACGCGATATTTCGATTATACGACTGATGCAACTAACATCTACTTTATTTTGTTTTTTATCAACCTGTGCTTCCACCACTGCTGTTATTAATAATATTATTTTACTTGGAGCTTATCGGGCGACATGACTCACCTAAAAAAATTTTTCTTTTTTAATATAATGCACCGATAATTGCCGAGTTAATTGTTACGATCAAAGATTGAATTTAAGCCAGCATTGAAGAGATGTTACGTCAGTTGATATCACCTCTACTTGTAATGTAAATTACTTTGGAAGTTAACAATTGTTTGAGCTGAATATGGAATCCATTCTGTATTATTGACATCCTGCCAGAAGAATTGAGCTAATTATTGATACCCTGCTCTAATTACTGACACTCGTAAAGTAGCGTTGATTATTTAATCAGTTAATATTCCGTTTTTATGCGAAGCTAAATTATTTGGAGATTTTGGGGAGATTAATATTTTATCTTTGACCCAACTCGATAAATACTTCAATGAATTTTATAATTTGAAGTTGTGAAAGAATTGAAACGTTCATTGATGGAAATATCAGTTTCTAGCTATGAAAAAATTATTGGGATTTTTATTTTATTAATTTTATTAATGAGAAAAAATCAATTTTATTTTGAGTAAATTCTTTTAAATTTTATTTTTAAATATTTGAATTTAAAAGTAAGAAAAACTTTTTAAACAAAATGCACTCTGATAAAAAACATTTATTAATAATGACTAGCCGTGACTTGTGAACTATAAATAAATAAAATTTTCCTTTATTAAATAATTACTTTTGTTGAATTGCACTGTACTTTTTAAACTATTGACATTTTTAAAGATATAAGCTCATCCTAATGTTACACTCTTCAAGAGCTTTCATTTAAGTACCCACATCAATTTTTCATATATTTATATATATTATATATATGTATATATGAAAAATATATCAAAAATGCATGTGGGTACTCAAATGAAAGGTCTCGATGAGTATAACATCGGGATGAGCTTATATCTTTAAAAATGTCAACAGTTCACAAGATACAAGGTCATTTCTTAATTATTGACATTTTTAAAGATATAAGCTCATCCCGATAGTATACTCATCAAGAGCTTTTATTTGAGTAGCCACATGCATTTTCATATATTTTTCATATATACATATATATAAATATATAAAATATATGAAAAATTGATGTGGGTACTCAAATGAAAGGTCTTAATGAGTATAACATCGAGATGAGCTTATATTTTTAAAAATGTCAATATTTCACCAGATACAAGGTCATTTGTTAATTATGTATCTAGAGATAGAGCATATTCGAATGCAGCCTAGACACATCATTATAAATTTACTTTTGGTACGAATGATATGAAACCTTGAAAAGGCACAACTTCAGGTCAAGACCTTTCTAATGATACCAAATTTAACCATAAAAACCCATTTTATCATGTAAATACACTGGCTACAAATTTTCGCTTATTCTCTTAATATATAGAATAATTTATTTCTTATAATTTTTATACAAATAAAAATAAATTACATGATTAATTAAAATGTATTTATTCTTTAATTAAGTTTTATAGATATAAAAAAAAATAAAATATTAATTAAATCCTTCAGTAAGCTTCAATAATTAAGAAATTTATAAAGAAAAAATTAATTGAACAAATTTCGATGTATTGCAGTGCAATCAGTTATTTAATAACTTTCAATTAACAAGAAGAATAAAAATAAATGGTTTATTCAATCAATATGACTGAGCGGGAGTGATAAACTTTAAACTGAGTCCTGAAAAATAAATAAACGTCCGTCAATGAATTTATATATACATCACTATTGCTACATTGACAAATAAAATCGATTGTCCATTATATTACAGTAAAAAAAGCAGACAACTTGTCCTTGATTTTTCGGACTGCAGTTAGTTATTTTTATTTAATAATAAAATATAATTTGTGTGGATTGTATTGTGCACAGAATCTATAAAAATCGAAATAATGCCAAAAGAGGAACGAAACAAGGTAAAATAATTTATTCATGTCGTGACGAAAATTGAAACGGGGATGGATGTCAATTGGTGTCGGTGTCTGTCTGGATGCCTGGGAAATCCGTGAAATTTGATTAAATTTTTTTATTTGTGTAGTGTAATTAAAAAAATTCCATTAAAAAAGTACAATAAAATAAAAGAGGACAGAGGGTATGTATTTAAAAATCATTGGAATCAATTTAATTAAATTCAACGCAATTTACTCTGAACTCGACCGATGACCCTACTCGTCGCGAGTTAAAGCTACCCTCTTTGACATTTCCAACTGTCTAACCAACCAACCAACCAGCCACCCACCCGCCCAGTCTACATCATCCCCTTGGAGCCTGCACATGATTCAAGCACAGGGTGTTTCAAATGTATTCGTTCGTCAAATGAATTTGCTTACAGGTTTCCGAGGTAAATTTTCTCTACCAACTTCTGCCCGCACTTTGCTCTCTTTACTCTACTCTTTACTCCTGTGATAAACTCTCTGATAAAAACTATATAAACAATATTTTCGTAACTTGTTACTTTGTTAAGGTAAATATTTATTTTGCACTTTATTTTCAATTTTTCGCTCTAATTTTTGAGCTCTAATTTTTAAGTAACTAGAGCGGAAATTTTGACTATTTTATTGAATTGAAATTTTTTTTTAGTTTTTAACTTAAAAAAATTAAACTTTAATGGGAAAATTTTATTTAAGAAGAAATATTTAATTTTTTTTTTTTTTTATTAAAAATCATATTTATTTATTATTTAAAATTTATTTGATAAAAAAAAATCAAAGCTTAAAATTTTTAATCATTTTTTTAAAAGAAGAAAATTTTGTAATTAAAAAAGATTAAAAAAAAAAAACTATTGAAAAAAATTTGATATTGTCCGATTTTTTTAATTTTTGCCTAAAATTAATTAGAAAAATAAATTTTATAATTATTAATTTATTGACTTTCATAAAAAAAAATTCATCTTAACAACTGTCAAAATTAAATGCATTGTATGTCCAGATACAATAGATAGTATTGTTACCAACAATCGAAAACTTAACCTCAGTACACTTTTTAGACTTTTTCTCATCACATTATAAAAAATATAATACCGAACAGTACATAACCAAAAAATCAAAATAATAAGAAATTCCAGTAAACACAATGGCATTCGCAACTAGAAATTACCGAATTTTCTGCAAGTTATACAATTCTAATTTGACAGCTAATTATTTGACACTTTGTAAATCCGGAGCACGAATAAATATACTCTCATCGATTCAGAAATGTGAATTTCATAAGCAAAGTGAGTATTTTATCAGTGACACGTGCTTCTAGAACAATTTTGCATCATCCAAAAATTATTGCACAAATATTAATTGTCAATTAAAATAATAGTAAAGTTATCCGACGATTTTAATTTTTTAATTATTATTAAATTAGAACTAAAAAATATTGTTCATAAATTATCTGCAATAAATCTATGTCAATAAATTAATAATTATTTAACAGCTGACCGGCCTGAAGTGACTACCTCCGTATTGTCCGGATCAAAATCTCCCTTAGATCCAATTTTAAAGGACAAGCAAGATGGGCACCAAGGTTCAGGCTCGTCTCACGATAATATGGGCGTTGATGAAGAAGAGCTGCGTAGGCGAGAAAACTCCTGGAAGTACACAAAGTGGAGTTTAGTTGCGATGGGACTGAGCTTTGGTATTGGAGGTGGGTTCTTTATTTACGAAACGTCTCTACCTCAGCGTGATGAACAGGGTAACATTATCGAGGATGAGTACTCTCACATGTCTTTTATTCCAAGAACTATGTACCGTGTTCTTAAAAGACTGCAATATTATACTGAGGTAACTCGTCATGTTTCTTATTTTTACAATAAATAAATTACTACTATAAACATTTTTTAAAAAATTACAATAATTTTTTGAGATATAATAAACAGTATAATAAAAAATTGTATTTATAATTTTTTAGAGTTTTTAAAGATGGAATTTTTTCAAATAAATTTTTCTTGCTACAATTTATTCGTTTGAAAAATTTATCAACGTTATAAATTTTAATATATAAATTGCCTAATTTTTCAGGTAATTCAAAATCCTATGAGCGATAAATTGTTACCAGACAATCCATACCCGTTTCAGCCAATTGTTGTAGTGCTAGAATTGAACGACGTACTAGTTCACCCGGAATGGACGGTAATATTCAAAATTATTTATTGTACTCAATGACATTAAAGTTAGCAGTTATTTAAAAACATTATTTTTAAAAAATTGTTAAAAAATCTGCTAAATTAATGTTTATTGACAACAAAGTTTGTCATTTATAAAAATACTTAATGGTATAATTTATTTGTTTTAGTATGAAACCGGTTGGAGGTTTAAAAAACGTCCTGGACTAGACTTATTTTTAGACAATTTGTCGCAGTATTTTGAACTGGTTATTTATACGTCCCAACCACAAGCGGTATTGATTTTATTTAAAACACTTGTTAATATTACACAACTAGTTTCTAATTATTAAATTATATTATTTATTAATCTAGACGATAGCGCCGGTTTTAGCATCACTAGACCCCAAAGGAGTTGCACATAAATTAATGAGAGAAGCGACGCGCTTTATTGATGGGTGTCACATCAAAGATTTGGATGCTCTTAATAGGGATCTCAAGAAAGTGAGGATAAAAATTTAATTATTTATTCAATTAATTGTAAATTAATTAACTTAAATTTCTCAGATTATTGTCGTGGACTGGAACCCTAGCAACGTAAAGCTTCATCCAGACAATCTCTTCAAAATACCTCGGTGGGACGGCAACGATGATGACACAACATTGTTTTACTTAGCGTCGTTTTTAAAGAGTAAATATTTTATATTATATTTAATAATATTTTTTTTATAAATTATTAATAATATAAAATATTTTCCTAGCTGTGGGAAGTCTGGATATTGCCGACGTGCGCGATGTTCTAGTGCATTATCAACAATACGATGATCCTGTAGCAGCATTTACTATAAACCAGCAAAATTTAATGGTAATATTATTCAATTATCATAGTAATTAAATTGAGAGAAATTTGATAATTTTTTTAATTTTTTAACTGAGAAATTATATAAAAAAAAAAATTCTTTTTTAAAAATTTTCAAGTGTCTCACTATTTTAATTTAATTAATTATTCTATTTCGAAATAATAATTAATTTTTTGATTTTTGTGTTCAGAAAAAAATGGAAGAAGAAGAAATAATGAAGAAAAAATCGGAAAGCAGTAAAAGTTTAATATCAAGGTGGTCTCCGGGTTTCAATAAGCCTTTATCATAAATAATAAGTTGAAAATAATTTGTAATTTTTTTTTTTTTTTAAGTTAATGAATAATTAAATGTTGAAATAAAATTTTTATTTTCTTTTGACTTTAAATCTGCTTTAAGTTAAATTTTTTTTTTTATATAAAATTACAAAAATAATTATTTGTAAAAAAAAAAACCCAACAATTAAAATCCATCTGTGTAAGTGCTCGTAGGTTTCTTCTTCGGTTTTTTAGGCTTAACAACTTTCGTAATAGTCGTAAAATCATCGAGCTCTTCAGCAAGATCAGCAGGCTCCGTTTTAATTATCGGCACTGGAATTTCGGGATTCGGCTGCATGTGCTGTTGACTGACACTGACATGATCTTGTGTTAATACCGGAGTGAATGGAATGTGATCATGATCATCATCAAGGACCTGAGACATGGACAAATTTTCTTCCAGAGGTGGAACAGCTTGGCTACTGGTGGTCGACTGGACCCAATCGTCTAGCCAGCGTTGCTTAGGATCCTCTTTAGGTTCATCGGGAACGTAATCACCCAAGTCACACTCCAGATCCCATGGGTCCAATAGCAAAGGCGCCAGTAGATCCTTGTACTCTCTTAACTTGTACACTGGCGTTCTCCAGTATTCAGGCATGAAATTTTCTTCTGCGCTTAATTCGTACTTTAATGTCGTGTCTGAGAATTCTGAAATAATTTTTTTAATTAATTATTTTATTGTCATAATTTTTTAATTACATTTAATTGACTTACGTTTAAATATATGCTCCATATTAAAGCGGTCAGTTATTGCTAAAGGTATTAATAATTTTTCTTGATTTTTTAACATTTCTTTTTCCCAACATTTTAATGCATGGCCAGCATAATCATTTATTAAACTAATATTTTTTTCTAGCTCGTTGTGAGTAATACAAGAATAAAAAACGTCTTCTGTAATTAAAATTTTAATTATTTAAAATTATTTTTAATTATTGATTTAACAAAATTAATTAATAAATTTTAAATTCTTAATTATAATAAATAAATAATTAAAAGTACCTAAAGAATTTTGATTAAAATAATAAATATTTTTATCATGAACCATCAAAGTAGATCCAACTGTACTTAATCCAACCCTTGTTGATGTTATCGGATCTAAACAAGTTCCTAACAACTGAGATTCTTTTAAAGTTTCTAAAATAGTAGGAACTGCGTGAGGCAGGTAATAACTATGTGGATCATCAAATTGCTGCCAGGTGTTAATAATTACAGATTTTTCAGATGGCAATTGACTAGAGATAATTATTACTTCTTCACCATCGCTATAAAAATAATTCACTTAATTAATTAATTACTACATTTTAAAAATTTTTTTTTATTAATTACCACATGGAAGTAGCTCCAGTCAGAGGAGGTGATCTGAACTGATGAGTCCATTTCTGATGAACACATTGATCTGGAGATCGATCATCGACCATCAAGAAATGGTGGTATGTTCCGAGGTAATGACGAGAGGGACGTTCGCTGGGCATGTGGAGGGACACTAAGTCACACTCATTTAGCATTTCTTGAGGATACATGCTTACTGTTGGTACTTTTAGTGAAACCTTTAATTTAAATTTACATTAAGGTAATTAATAAACAAATAAATAAATTAATAAATTAATTAAAAATAATCTTTAATTACTTTAAGTCACTTACTCGTAAGTCCATATAATGCAAAGCATTTCTGTCAGTCAAAGCTACAATGTTAGGACTCGAATTATATATAATACTTCCCCAACTATCAGGAACTGGATTTCTAGTATTAACAAGACTTTTAGATAAACATTTTCTGTTGAAAAAAATTATTTAAATTTAATAATACCTCAGTGATTAATTATTGATATAATTCTCCGATAGAAAATTATAATTACCCTGATACCATATCACATTGCTCAAATATGCGTCCTACATTAAGTGTACAAAATTGATTTGGATCCACGGGGTTCAGAGCGGCACTGATAAACGGTGTGGATTTATTCTCCTTGTTATCCAGCGCTTCTAAACTTAGCTTACCCTCATCATTAGAAGTCAATGAATAAAAAACACACTCGTGCTTACATCTCACTAAAATACGACCTGTAAAATATTCACATATGATTAATCATTAACGATTATGAATTATAAATTATCGAGGAAAAATGATACATGACAAGTGATTTTAATATTAAAGAGACAGTAAATTTATGTTCGTATGATTGACGTGATTAATTATTAATCAAATAGTACAAAATAATTAATCAACTCGACTGTATCAGAAATGTTAATTATAAAATAAGGTGACTTACAGTTGTCAGATGAAACATGATGTCTTACTTCGTAAACGGGGTTACCGATAGTTAATTTACTGGCTTTACTTAAATCTGGCTTCCACAGGGAATTATCTTTAAGATTTATTGGACTTGCAACTGAAATATATTAAAATTTATATTTGAAAAATATTAAATATTAATTATAATTACCAACATCTTGCATAAATGGAAAGATTAATAAATTTTTATTGTTGAAGTAAATATTATTTATAGACCCGCCAGTATAATACCAATTATATTTCTGTAATAAAAAAAATTAAAGTTAAAATATTTTTGAATTTTGAATTTTGAAATTTATAATTTAATATTTAATATTTACCCCTTCGAAAAATGGATCTGGATCACATTCAATAATATCAGCAAGGTCAGCAACATACCGAGGTACTACCGCATGACCTCTGTCATACTTCTTCCCAGACCATTCGACATCTTTATTTGATAGAACATTGTGACCTAAAATTAATTAATTAAATTGATTTTTTAAGTCAATAAAAATTAAAAATAAAATAATTGTTTTAATTTTCTACAAGTTAAATTTTTTCTTTTAATAATTTTTTTCAATTAAAAATTTTAAGAAAACTAATTTAATTTTTAATGAACCAAAATAGAAATTAATAAATGAATAAATAACAAACCTTCTATATCGTTTTCAAAGTGGTCTAATATCAGATCCATGTCATCTTGGATGAACTGCTTAGCAAACAGCAGATCAGTTGCCGGGTCGTGTTGATTGTCAACTACAAAAAATTGTTTTGAAAATTAATTTATAATTATAAATTGTGTTAATTATAAATATATAAATAAAACTTACTGTGTCTCCTAGTTCTAGCAGGCGGCAACAATGGTTTGGGCAAATCACAGGTGTAAGGATACGGATGGTATAAATTAACAGCGTTTTCAAAATCCCATTGTTGAACCCAAGGTTTTTTATTTAAATTTAACCCTGGTATGGTATTGTGTATATATTTTTCCCAACATTTCCTACCTACATTGTTCTTCAAATAATTTTCAATCCTCTCACTAGTTGATCTGACAATTCTAGATTTTTTGGGTTCAATTTCAGTTTTTTGCTTTTTTGCCGCTGGTGGTTTTTTTGACATTGTCAATTTTACAAAAGTGTCAAATTAAACTTGTTTAATATTTATATTTCAAACTTGCTGTCACTTTTTTCTGAATTGTTTACAAGTGACAAGTAAACACTGAGCACGTGTTCTTTAGAATGAATAACCAAAAGAATGTCAGATCACAGTATTATTTTTTTCTTTAACTTTAAAATTTTAATATCACAATTTTATATTTTAAAAATTTTATTTCAATAATTTTTATTGTTAATTAAACAAATTCACTATTTACTATAAAGTTTTTTCAAGGTTAAGTTAAAATAAACACGAGTGAATAATTTTTGATCTGCGCATGCGCCCGAATTTTGTGAAGATACCGCGAAAATAACAATCAGCTGTTTTAATTTCTCGCTAATTTTATGAAATATGAATTGTACATAAAAGAATAAAAAAAGTATTGAAAATAATCAGCTGTTAAAAAAAATTATTATGATTATTAATTAATTAATTAATTTAAAAAAAAAAGAAATTTTGTAAATTTGACGTTTAAAAAAAGCGCGCGGTTATTGACAAATAAAAAAATACTCCAGAAGTAAAAACCTCTTGTGATTCGTCAAAGCGTTTTTAAATAACTGAAATTTGATTGGTAATGCAATTAAATCTCTCAACTTTAAAAAAAGGTTATTGACTAATGAAATTCATTTAGAATCACTTGAAAATATACCCTTAAGCAAGTATATGACACATGTTTATAATATTAAATATACATACAATACAATGTATATATAGAACCTAGAACTAGGACATACCACAAGTGTTCAATTTATCAATAAATTAAAAATATATTTTTAAATTCTATACCCTTAATAAATTAAATTTCTCAGTGTGATACTCAGTAGTTTTAAAATGATAAAACCATGTATTTTTGTGTGTTAATATTAAAAAATAAATTATTCAAGCATGTCATCGACAAAGTGTGTTAATCCGTTCAATACCAAGTAGTCCTTGAACTTTTAAATTTTTTCAATTAAAATCTCATGTATTGCTTTGCAACCCTCTAAATAATTAATTCAATTGAATCTAAAAGTATGACAAGTGTCATGCTGTTTAAAATTTTCAAAACTCAGTATGAAATAATTATTTACATTGGATTAATTTTATTATCCTGCAGCAGTAAGTCATTTATTTATTTATTTATCAAAATTAATTTAACAGATATTTTATAATTTTTTTAACAAATAAATTATGGTAAAAAAAATTGACATGTAGAAAAATTTTTAAAAATTAAAAATGCAATTTTTTTTTAATTTGTTTGTTAAAAAAAAATTAAAAAATGGTGAAGTGACTGCTAATTTTAATTAATTAATATTTATTTTATTTATATAAAAATTGATTGCTATTTTTAAAATAAAATAAAATAATTGACTAAATTACAGATGTTACCAGTTTGATGCCAGAAGCGAGTCAGGAAGGTGCTTTGCATGCTTTCAAAAGCTACAGTGACGTTGCTACGTTCCATTACACAGTTCCTAAAGAAGTTTATCGAGCTACATGGCAGTTTGCGGCTTTTATGGACGGGAAAAATTGTGCTCCACGTGAAGTACACATGTAAGTCAATTTTCACACTTAAAAATTATTTTTAAGTAATTTAGAAATAGTTAAATATTTATTTACTTGAAAAATCGCTTCAGATACTTGCAATGGGGCAGTTACCCAGTGATAACAGCGAACAATGAATCATTCCCACCAAATATGTACCCTGGGAGGAATGACACCATCAGGGTGACAGCTGTTACAGCCTATGACTTCCAGACGACCACGATCGTTCCTGTCAACAGCCCAGAACCCGGTGATTGGTTTGTTGGGGCTTACATGAGCCATTGGGATGAAAAAGTTCAACAGGAGGTTATTTTCTTTTTATTTTTGGAGCATTTAAAATTTTTTTTTCTATTTTATCGGAAAAATTGCAAAAAATTACAAAAAAATTGAAAGAAAAGATTTGACAAGTTGACAAAGATTTTTTACTTGGAATTTAATTATTTAAAATAAAAAATGAATTTATTTATTGCAGGGAATCGGACACAAGTGTCATTATAGCATTGGTTCAGTAGCTGTTTGGTTGCAAGCTAATGGCATTCAGAGTATACCAATTGGTCATGAAAATACTATGACTACTAGTCAGCCTTCAACGTATTACAAGTAATAATTACTTAAAATATTTATATCAATAGTTTATTTTAATAAAATAAATTAAGACACTAAAGTATACTAACATAAGAAATTTTTTTATAATTTTATAGCAATTAAATTATTAAAAAAAAAATATTTCACAGGATATTTATACCATCGGGAACGTGGAGGTTTGATGTAAAAATATGGGATTGTAAATTTAAAATTGCATCTTTAAATAAAACATCCAAAAATTGTATAAAAGGATTAGCATTGCAAGGACTTACAATGCCGGTTTTTAATCATACTAACAGTTATAAAATGAACAGCTTGCCAGTAAATACTACACATACGTTTACTGAACGTACTCCTCACGATGATAGTTACTATTATTTACTAGTAGTATCCGACAGTATAGTTGAATTTAATGTTAAAGTATCTATTTCTGGTAAGATTTAATAATTATTTAATTTATAAGACACACTGAAAAAAATTTTCTTAATAATAAATTATTATTTACATCCTTAGAATGTCCAATTAAAATAACAGAAAATGCATTAATGCATCATTGGGTCTCAAATATAAGTATAAATTACACAAGCCACCAACTAATGATAAGCGACAAGAATTCTCATGGTCTAGAAAATGAGAACAAAGACGACCCGTGTCCTCGTCGGTTCCAGCTGATCCGAGTTAAACAAATCCAGACCTTTTCTGGCGTCTATTTGTTCCAAGGACGAGAGTGGCTTACTCCGTGGATCTTATTGACTGATAACTATCCAGTGATTGCGCAGTTCAACATACTACCGCTGGTGGATGTCGGCGGCTCGTTGGACGTCGGAGTGCATTTGGAAGTTGATAAATTTGCGACGCAACAGCAGGTTATTGTTATTGCCTGTGTTCGTCGGTCTCAAGTACCTGATCGCCATAATGGGCTAATTGTTTGCCATGACAATCGAATGATGATGAATCTCTCTTCTACTGATAGACGCGATGCCCATTTATTGATACCCTATCCGCAGCCGGATACCTGGCATGTTGCTTTGCAAACTAGATGTTTAAGTAATGGGTATGTATTTTTTCTTTTTTTTTTTTTTTTTTTTTCAACAGAACATTCAATAGAAAATTAATTAATTTATGTAATTATTTATTAATTTATCAATTATTCTATTGTACAGGAAAGTCGTTGCTTGTGATGTTAATGAAATATTGGTATCGTTAAATATTCATACAAGACAATGTGTTTTTTCCGGGTCAAAATCTTGCGGTAATCATGGAATTTGTGAAGAAATTCATCGTGGATTACTTCATTACACAACTTGCAGTTGCTTTGGCGGTAAATATTAATTAATTAATTAATTACTATAAAGCTTTTTTTTGTATTAATACATTGAGAAAAAATTAATTTAAAAAAAATGTTGCAATAAAAAATTAATTTGTTGAAAATTTTAACTTAGCTGAAAAAATTAAATTTTTTGTAGATTTGGAAAAAAAAAAAAATATTTGGAGAAAAATTCATAAGTTTTTTATGTCAAGAAATAAAATTTATAACAAATTAATTTTTTATCACAATAATCCCCATTTTTTTTAAGCAAATTTTTTCTCTTAATGTAAAAATTAATTAATACATTAATTAATGTTAATACTTGATATAAAAATTAATTAGTTCTAAAAATTGCCAAAAAAATATTTCAGGATACAAAGGCTGGGGATGTACAGACGACACTAACGTAAATATCCATTCATCACTGCTAATGTCATTTTTAATGCTAATTTTAAGCAACGGATTCTTCTTACCCGCTATTTACTTAGCAATAAAACGCAAGCTGTACACCGAGTCCCTGGTATATTTTTCGACCATGTTATTTTCTTCTTTATACCACGCGTGTGATCAAAAATTCATGACGTACTGCATCGCCAACTACGAAGTTCTCCAATACTGCGATTTTTTTTCAAGCATCCTAGCATTCTGGGTAACCCTGGTCGCGATAGCGCGTCTTCCACTCCACTTAGTCCCAGTCTGTCACATGTTCGGCGTGTTCATAATAGCATTTTGCGTCGAGTCCAACAAGACCGGACTGACAAGTATATTAGTGCCTTTAGCAATCGGTATAGTAATCCCTATTGGATCATTAGTTTATAATTTTTACAAATTGAAAATACGAAAATTGTCGCGTAATTTGCTCGTTAAATTGTTCATAGGCTTAGGACTGGCGAGTATTGGTTTGCTTTTATTTACAACTGTCGAAACAGAGGCTAATTATCAGTACACTCACAGTATGTGGCACGTGATAATCGCACTGTCATTGATATTCTTATTACCACCGACTGCAGGCTCTAGCAGCAGCTCTAGCGCTATTGAATCTAGCAGCGGTTCCGACAGCGAGTTAGTTAATTTAAAAAACCATTCAGACAGTCCCGTGTTTACTGTTAATCTAGATCAAGAGTCTTCTTCTATTGCCAATGAAAATAGTTAAACATTTAAATTAATTAACTCCTACTTAATGTGCCAAATATACTTCAATATTTTTTTAAATAATCAAAGTGTCTTTTATGTTTTAAAAAGAACAATTATTGAGACTTTATTTTATAAGACTTTTTATACTTAAAATTTATTATATTTTTTTTTATGTACTTATTTGTATACATTAATTATTATCAGGGAAAATATTTTAATTATTGTTAAGTTTTTAGCTTAGTATATTTTAGGCATTGAAGACACTTTAATTATAAATGAAATTATTTTTAATAATAATTTATCACTTCATACTGATGAAAAAAAAATATTTTTCTCCAAATATTATATATATATATATACACATATATTTGTTGAATATTTTATATAAAATATTCAAAGACTATTTTATTATGAGATTAATAGTTACTCTATGACATTTTAAAAAATAAAATATTTTAATAAATGTTTAAAAAAATATAAATATATATTTTTAACGCTGTGACGTTAATTCGCCAGCAATAAATTAAAAAAAATTGACTTTCAAATTATCGCACTTTTCGATTATCTGCAATTTCATGTTAACTGTGTTTAAAGATATAAATTTAATATCTACATTGTCCGCTATCAATGATATAGCTTTAGAAAGCTCACTGCATCTAAAAATGCCAAATAAATTTAATGTAGTCAGATAATTATTCATATACATAATTAAAAAAAAACATACCTCAGAATTTCTTCTTCAAAACTATTCTTGTTATAATTATCTTCATTTTTAAACTCACTTAATTTTCCCTCGACTTGCGCTAACAATTTAATATCAAGTGACTTAATAAATTTATCCAGCGCAGCAATGGCTGCATCCGTTTCTAAAATAATTTCTTATTAATTTTTAAACTCAATTAAATTGAACGTCATACCTTCTTTAAGATTATTCTTAAGCTCTGTTATTTCTTCCTGAGCTTCTATTAAAGTTATCTTATCTTTAGCTCGCAAATCAATCAGATCAAATATTTTATTACAAATTTCAATTGAATATACCTCCTTATCCAATGAAGTTATTAATTCAATAACTCTTTTAATTTCTTCCACATCCGGTTGGAAGACGATCTAAAAATTATTTTTAATTTTATTACAAATAATTATTAATTTATTTTTAATTTTAAATTACCTGGCCATCTAAATAATGAGCATCTATTACTAAAAAAGCTCCAGAAATTATATTATCGCCTTCAAAAAAATTTCTCGCTGACTTTAATGAATTTCGAATATTTACAACCAAACTTTCTTTAAAGTCTTCTATTATTTTTTGAACAAACGCGGTCCAATAAATCGGAGTCTGAAAAAGTAAATTATTTAAAAATTTAATTATTTATATAAAAAAATTACAAACTTTGTCATCGCGTCTGATATCATATTTGATCAAAGAAATTGATTTTATGATTTGTTTGCACTCGTTATTAATATTCTCCAGACTTTTATCCCTTAAAAAAAATTAATATTTAATTATAAATTACAACAATAATGATCGAATAATTTATTATAATTATTTACTTGACACTTATCAAGTAATTTTCAAAATCTTCTAAAGTATAAGTCAAATTTACTGTCTCTTTAACTACCAGTTCTTTTGAAATACTCTTCAAGCACTGGTAAATTTTTTTATATGAAGACTTGTAGTCTCCCACAACTCTTCTGAACTATAAAAAAAGATTTAACATTAATTTGCAAGATTATAAATAATTTAATTTAATTATTGACAAAAATAACTTGCTTGGTAAACATTATTGTAACACTCATCGTAAAATTTATCGATGGACTCTACTATCCATGTATTCTTCGTGACTCCGGTTGTTACAATAACTTTTATTTCATCAATTACTAATTTAAATAACATAAACTCTTCTTTACTCATTTTTTCTATAATATTGTTGTAGAATTTGCATAAGTAATTTACTTTTACGTAACGAATCATAAATAAGTTCCACTTTTGCAATAATTTTGGTGATATTTTTTTTATTTCATATTTCATATTTTTCCATCTAAAAAATATTTAATAACATATTTGAAATTTTAAAGAAATTATTATTATTATTATTATTAAAAACTTACTCAATAAGAGACTTGATAGTTTCCAAGCAATAAAAATTTAAATTAACTTGCATAAATTTATTATTAGGATAATTAGCATATTTAATAATTGGTTTATTAAGCATTTCTTTAATTTCATCATCGCTCAATAATTTTTGTTCCCATGTTAAATTAATTTCATTAATTTTCTCTAACAAAGTACTTTGAACACGTTTATATTTTTCAATAATCGCTCTAAAAAAAAAAAATAATTGCTTAAAAATAAATTATTAAAACCAAAATAAATTAAGCTTACTCTTGCGCAATATTGTCATCAAACCAATCAGAAGCATTAACTAGCATATTAAACTGACTAGTCAAATAATTATTCTTCAAAGCCAGCAAAGTCGCCGCGCCTGCATAGGAAGTCATCGACCGATCATAAACCAAAATTTCCTTATCAATATCATCAACAACCGCCTCCAGCTCTTGATTAAAAATCTTCCAAATAAACGTCCAGTAACTATCAAGAGTTTCTTTTAAATTTTCACGAATCACAAAGCGCTTCATCGCGTACAAAGCTTCCAGGCCTTCTTCCACCGTAAAAACTTCCTCAAATATATCATGTATCAAATTCTTCATCATATTATCAATGTCCTCTATTTTATTCCTAAAGACTTTAATTTTTTCCAACCAACTAAATTCTTCTACATTTAAAATACACTCTCGGGAATTTTTTATTTCTTCCAAAGTTTGACTAAACAATTTTTCTATTTTTTTATACTTTTTTTCATGCTCTGGCGCTTTTGCTCCTCCAATTATTTTAATTTCTCCACACCTGTAAATTTTTACAATTTATTTTAAAACTACCTAATTCTCTCTAAAAAAAAAAAAAAAAAAAAAAAAAAAAAAAAAAAAAAAAAAAAAAAAAAAAAAAAAAAAAAAAAAAAAAATTACTTGTCAAAAATAATTCTTGTATTTGTAACTTCAATAAGATCTTGACATCTCTGTATAAATGTATTGACATGATTGAAGACATTATTTTTATCAATGTTACTTAGAATTAAAGAATTGCAATGTCTGTCCATTAGTATTAGCTGTAAAAAATTAGCAATATTTTTGCCTTGGCATTTAATTATGAATAAATAAATAAATATTAAATTAAAGCAAATTTATTAAAAGAAAATTAAATAAAAATCACAAACTTGATTGAAAATTTCTTCAAAATGCCGGCAACAAAAAATAGAATTTTCAAGCATTTGCTTGCCAGCCAGCGGATCTTCATCGAGTATAATCGTTAGATCGATATATTTTTTAGATTGATTCATTATCTGTGTGCCCAAAGCCCGGCAAAGTATTTCTATTTTATCTCTGTAATAATAATTATTATTAAATAATTAATTAAATATCTAGAAGAAGAAATAAATAAAAATAAATAATTGGACTCACGTGGTATTATAAAACTGCGACTCTGTAGCAACGAATCGTATCAGATATAATATTTTAGTCGTATAATCTTCTATTTCACCCGGAATATCAAAGTCGCAACAATAATCGACAAATAAATTTAAATATTTAATATTAGAAATTATTTCAACAAGCGATTTCTCGATTTTTGTTATTAAAACCGGGAATTCCTCAATACTTGCGGACTTGTTAGTCTTCAGAGTGTCGATGATGTTTGTGATGCACTTGTTAGTAAGCTGGTTGTGAAGACACTCGAGACTTTCGACTAAAAAATTCACAATTAATTTAAAAGCTTACGATAAAATAAAACTTAAAGTGTTCAAATATTTTTAAAATATTATTTACAATAAATTTATAAAATTTTAAATCTGTGCATTGAAAACTTATTTAAAATTACATGTATTGTCTTAAATGTATGTAAAAATATATGTATGAATAAAAGTATATTTTAAATGTTTACATCTGTAGTTCCAGAAGTTTATTTCTTCTTTAATAGTCCTGCAAGCGGGTCTGACTGGAATATTCGAGCCGCTTAATACTTCTCTGATTTGTTTTATCCAGTACTGAGCCACTCTTTCCAGCCGCTCAATTAATCCGTTCTTTTCTTCGGCAATTAGAAGAAATTCTACCGACTTATAGTCTTCTCGGGTGTCAATTTGTTTGCTGGAGGAAGAAATTTTACAGTCGATCCCTTCGCGAGGGATGTAAAGGATTGAAAGACCCATTGGATGATACGTCAAGTCATTCAGGTAACTTATTAATCTGTTTAAGTTTGAAAATATCTCGTCTTTTTTTACTGCAGGCCAGCGATCATGGGAAAATGCGACTGGCGCGTAAATATTTTGGAAGAATTTTAATAATGAATTCTCAAAATAATTAAAACTACCAAATTTTACTGTTGACATAAAATTGTCGGGAGTGTAAACTTGCCAAGGTGAGCGGAAAAAATAAGTCAGCCCATTTTGGGGGTACTTTGGAAAGTCTAGAGTTACTTTCCATTGAGAGTCTTGGTAGAATATTGTTAAGATTGTGTAAGATGGGTTACAAAAGTATTCATGAATTAGATTTGTTGATTCTTGAGGTAATGTTATTTCTTCATGAAATGTCATGGTTAAATTTTTGACATACTGAACCTAGAAATATTCATTTCAAAAATTAAATAATTATATTTATAAATATATAAAATTATGATAGTAAAATTAGCCAAAGTTAAACAATTTTTGACTTTTTTTAACAATTAAATTACAAGTAATAAAATTGCACTAATTAATTGTTCTTTTCATTTTTTTTTAAATTGTTTTTTCTATAAAATGATTAATTTAAAAATAAAAAAGAAAGTTCATTTTAAATTTTCTATTTAAAATTTTTACTATTTATGTTTTAAATTAATTTCTCCATTAAAAAAAAAAGAGTTCTATTGTATTTACTAGTGTGTCTAATTCTTGATCTGTAAAAACAGGTTTTTCAGGCTCGGCTGGGAGTTCTTCATCCGGCTCAGGAGTCTCTTAAAAAATATAAAACCTTATTTTCAAACTAACTAATAATTAAATATTCTCAAAATTTCAAACCTTGCCGGCCAAACTCTTCTTCATCGGTGTCCATGTCTAAATATTCTCTGTAATTAATTACTGGGGGTGTTTTATCAACCCGTTTTATTTTTTTAGAGTCGTTTACTTCACCTCGCCTTCCACTCATTTTTTAAAAAATTGTTATTCAATGTTCAACCCAAAAACTTCTCTGCACTATTTTTACTAAGTAGTAAAATTTATATTTTCTTATATTGATTTTTTTGTACAAGTTTGTTACTTCTCCCTAGTTACATACATAACAATCTCATTGCAAGGCAATAGTTCATTAAATTTAATAAAAAATTATAATAAATTAATTTTATTTTTTTTTTTTCAAAATAAAATTGTAATTTTTTATTTCTTACGAATTTTTATTTAAAAAAATTTCTTTTTAATTTTTCTATTAATAATTAATTTAATTTATGAATAAATTACAAAGGAAAATTTCATGTCATAAATCATGCGATAATAAATGGAGGGGACCAAGTGACGTGTTGCCTTGATCTTGAACAGAGATAAATAGTCCACACCAGCCACGAGTTTAATCCACTCACAACTCATATGTACTTACCATATGAATACTTACAAACATTTGTATCGCTTGTAAAAAATTATCAAAAACGTCAAAATGACTTCACCTAAATATTTATTTATTGGTCCAATTGTTCAAACAATTAAATCTGGAGCTAGTATTGAATTACAAATTATTGAAAAAGCTGGTATAGTCGTCCAAGATGGGCAGGTAATAAAATAATTATAATAATTTTTTATTTTCTAAAATTTTTACGTCAATTTTTAAAAATTTTTCGGAACAAATTTGTTTTGAATAAAAAAAAAAAATATTTTTACAAAAATAATTTTTTTTTAGATACTTGAAATCATTAACAGACCGAATAAATCAGAAATAAAAGCAGATAACATTACAATATTAGAAAAAGGACAATTTTTCACTCCAGGATTCATCGATTGTCATGTCCATGCTGTCCAGCTACCGAATATAGGCCTCGGTTACGACAAAAGTCTTCTCGACTGGCTAGAAGCTTATACATTTCCTCTAGAATTACAATTCTCAGACAATTCTTTCGCTGAAAAAGTATTTGAAGCGGTCGTGGTAATTATTTTTCATTAGATTAATTTAAGATTTTAATTGAATTAATTTACTAGATTTATTTATCAAGAATTTTCAAACAGAAACGTACGTTATCACTAGGAACAACGACTGCTTGTTACTTTGCTTCGCTGTACAATGAAGCTTCTTTGATTCTGGCTGAAAAAGCTGTCAAGTATCACCAACGCGCTTTTGTTGGGAAGCTTAATATGGACAGAGTACGCGATGATGATTATTATGAAAGGACAGATATCTCTGTTGATAATACCAGAAAATTTATTGATGATGTTTATAAACTTAAAGTAAGATTATTCATTTTTATGAAAAGCAAGTTTGTTTATTTAATTTATAATTTTTTTTTAATTTTTGTTTAGTCTTCTCTAGTCAATCCTGTTATCACTCCGAGATTTGCATTGAGTTGTTCGATGAAATTGTTAAAACATTTGGGAGAAATCGCTAAAGAAAATAATCTTCTTGTTCAGGTATAATTTTTCAAAGAAAAATTATTAAAAATTTATTTTTTTTTTCATTAAAAATTTATTTTTAAATAATAAATTAATTTTTTAGACACATGTATGTGAAAATACCGGTGAAATAGAAGAATGTAAATCATTATTTCCCGACTGTCCGACTTATATGTCTGTTTATGAACAAGCTAATTTATTAACAAATAAGGTGAATAATACTTTCACTTTCTTCATTAAAAAAATATATTATTTATCAAAAATTTACTAATAAAAAATTAATTTTTAGACTGTACTAGCTCACGGAGTTTTCCTCGAAGACAGTGAGTTAAAAATTTTAGCCAAACATAATTCATCAATAATTCACTGTCCATCTTCGAATACTTTCTTAAGAAGCGGGCTCTGTGATATCCAGAGACTGAGAAGAAATAATATTACCGTAGGCCTAGGCACTGGTAATTTAAATTCTACTTTTAAACAAACTTATTCACTAATTTATAACTTAAAATTAAATCTTCAGACGTAGCAGGTGGTAATTTTATGTGTATGCTGGATGTAATGAGATCAGCGCTAGAAGTATCAAATCATATTGGATTCATCCAAGGTGACTCTTATAAGCCGATTGATTTTGTCGACGCTTTTTATTTAGCAACTTTAGGCGGAGCTGAAGGTAATTTTTTTTATTAGAAGGTAAATAAATAAACTATTTTTATTAATAAATTTTTTTTCAACAGCTCTGTCAATAGATAGCCAAGTGGGAAATTTAATCGCTGGGAAAAAATTCGACGCTTTGGTCATTGATTTACAAGCGAAGGATTCACCACTAGACAATTTAAAAAATTTAACGCTTAAGGAACAATTGCAACGATTAATATACTCTGGAGACGATCGTAACATTGTAAACGTTTACGTAGAAGGTCATAAAGTTAAATGAGTGTTTATTTTTTGGAGTGGAGCTCCAAAAAATTTTTAATACTGCAGTTGCTTTGTTCAAAAGCTTTTACAAAACCTCGACAATCTTTATCCTGAAAAATATTCATTTTTTATTTATTATAAATAAAATACCTAGTAATAAATAATAAATATTATTATTTACTTACTGGGAAGGGATCTTCAATAATTATGTCTCCATTAGGATTATAACTTCCCAATAATTCAATTTTAGCGTTACTACATTCCGGTTTTATTTTTTCAAGTTGTTCAATGTTATATTGATCCATTCCAAAGATCCAATTGTGGGAATAAAAATCATTTTTTGTTATCTATAGAATTTTAATTTTTTAATTTCTCTTTAAAAATAAATTAGATCAAGAAAATTATTTTTAAAAAATTGCATTTATAATTTTTTTGCTGTAATTTATGAGTTAAAAAAATTTCAAAATCATTAAAAATAATTAATTGTTGATTGAATAATTTTTTTAAACGTACAACTCGGGCTTTGTGGGAGTAATTAACGATTCCTCTTCCTCGAAGAGTAACCAGAGCACGCTCGTCAGGAGTCTGTCCGGCGTGATAACCGCGTAGTCCTGCGCTGTTTACTTCCCAGTTATTTTTCAAACCCATTTTTGTTATATAATCATCAAAAATAGCTTCTGCCATCGTCGAGCGACATGTATTACCTATTATATTTTTACACCGGTAATAATTTAATGAAATTGTGGTGATAATTAGTGATATTAAATAATTTACCTAGACAAACCATCAATACACGTTTTTTCTCACTCATTTTATTCAAAATTTTTGAAGATTATTTGACAATATTTTTTTTTGTAAATTATTGAGCTTTTAGGAATGCTTCGACACTTCTTACACACTGCTCGTAAGCTTTGACAAATCCAGCGCTGTTACTATCCTGTAAAAAAATAAATTCTTTGTAATAAATAAAATTTTTTAATTTAAAATATTAAAAATTAAAAATTACGTAGTAAGGATCACGAATTATTATTTCTCCTGAAGGATCATAAGAGCCGAGCAATTCAACTTTGGCTTTGCTTCCAGATGGCTTTAGACGATTTAATTCTGAGATGTTGTCATCGTCCATTCCAAAGATCCAGTCATATTTATTGAAGTCGTCCTTTGTTATCTGCAATTATATTTATCAGTTAATTTATTATTTTACTTAATTATAATTATAAAGGTCACAGGATTGGAAAAATATCTGTGAGTTTTATTAGTCACTGTTAAAAATGATCCGGTATTTTTGCCGTGTGATTAGCGAGCTTAATTGCAAGCTCCAATACTGACCAGACATAAATAAAATAAATAAAAATAAAATATACTGAAGAGAAATAAAAAATACGTACCGGTCTAGCTCGATGTGAATAATTTTTAATACCCTTATCCTTCAAAGTGCTCATAGCCCGGCTGTCAGGTGATTTACCAGTATGATAGCCAATTAATGCTGCACTGTCAACTTCCCACTTGTCAGTCAAATTATTTTTGGCAATATAATCAGCAAAAACTGCTTCTGCAATGGGTGACCGACAAATATTGCCTGTGAATAAATAAATTACATTAAATTGGAAGACACTTGACAATTATGTCATAAAAAATTAATTAATTTAAATGTCATACCCAAACAAATCATCAATACACGTTTTTTTTCACCCATTATTAAATATTATATATTTTATTTGAACTATATACTTGTGTTCAAGTTTTAAAAAAATTTTATATAACCTAAATTTGCTATTTAAAAATTAAAAAATAATAATTCCAAAAATGGCGTCACTTTTTAGATCACGTGATTTCTTAAATTTCAAATCATCTGAGTACATAATCTAGTACACATCATACACAACTCAATATTTTTAATTTTTATACATGTGTTGACGCTCCAGTGTTTGGAGTTTAAAATATAAAAAAACTACAGTATTATGACTTAAAAAATTAAACTTGCACAAAATTAGTGATCATAATTCAAGTAAAATGTTTTACAAAGATAATTATGACTATGATATGATGTATCCTGACGAGGAGAGTGATTGTTTGGATTGTAACAGTGATAACCTAAACAAGCCTCCAAATCTCGCTTATGATTACGATTACTTGGAAATACACAACAGCGAGACATTTTTGCAAATTTTGAAAAATTGCGTTTTTACCAGTATTGATGCCACCAGTAATTTTTCTACACTATTTATCGCTAATATTTTACTCCGACTTTTTATAAAATTCGGTAAGTTCACTGACAGCAAACATTTTATGTTTATATCAGATTATCATCTTCTATAATTTGTATATTTTGTATCACTGAGTTAAACTGTTAAATTTTTTTAATTTTTTATCCTCAAATTTATTTTCTTTGTTTTATTTGTCAAATTTGTATTCCAAATTAAGAAAATAATATTTCATAAAAAATAATCAATTTTTATATCTAATATTTTCTAAACTTTATATCTTCATTAGACTTACGTGTACTTTATTATAACTCTTTTTGTATACTTTTGCCATCTGGCTATACTGCCTTGGCATTGAAATGAAATAATAAATAAATAAATAAATATATTTCATCAAATTTTTATAATACTAAAATTAGCTAATTAAATTTTTATTATGTTTCAGTACCTCCGAGAGCATATCACTTAGTATCAATCCTGACAGGTATTTTTATAGTAAATTATTATGCAGCCGAATCATTGTTTTTGATGTCAGTTTACACAGTGATTTCTTATATTTGTTTATGTGTACCCAGAAAACATCAAAGAGGAATTGAAATGTTGGCAATTTCCTTGTTCACAATATTAATTTGGTAATTTTTCTCAATAATAATTTTTAAACTGATTTAAATAATAATTTAATTACTGATTTATAGACTTTTTTTTTTTTTATTAACTTACGTTTTTTTATTAGTGAATATTCAATGGACCCAGCATCATGGCATAGAATTCGCGGAATAATAATGATCGCTGCAATGAAAGCTGTCAGTATATCCCTAGACAGTAAAAACAATCGCAATTTTTCATTTAACATCTGGGAGTACATTGCCTACATATTTAGTCCGCTAACTTGTATTTTTGGCCCATGGATGTCTTTTTATAATTACAAAGCAATGACCTCTGGAACAGTTGAAAGAAAATTAACCATCAGGCAAATTATTGTCTTGTGGCTTGGAGATCTAGGTGTTGCTCTGAAAAATTTTATAGTGGCATTAATATTTTTGAGTATTTCAAATTGCTTTGCTCAGTGGTTTATACCCAACTATATTAGTGATGGAAAGTAAGTATTATTATTATTATTATTAATTTTCAAGCATATAAAAAATTAATAATAATAATAATAATAACTTATGTTTAAAATTTTAAATAAATTATTATTATTATTATTATTGCTAAATAAAATTCAATAATTATTAATAAATTAATTTTTAAAGGTGGTTCACAGCTTATGGAGACGCTCTATCATTTAGATCGTCTCATTACTTTATATGTTACGTCTCGTCAACTGTATTGTCACTTGGAGGAGTTACATCATTAATTCATCCTCCAACTAGCACTCCTACGGAATCAATATCATCGACAATGACACCAGCAACAATAACAAGACCAATTGATATAGAATTACCACGTTCATTAGTTCAAGTCGTTATTTCATGGAACGTACCTATGCATACATGGCTGAAATCATGTAATAACATTTTTTTTATCACCATTATTATTATAATTATTATTATTACTATGACCTAATATTTTTTACAGATATATTTCGACCTTCAATAAATCATGTCGGAAAATTCAACGCCGTAATACTGACATACTTAGCAAGTTCATTGCTTCACGGCTTAAATTTCCAAATTGCTGCAGTATTATTGAGCCTAGGCTTGTATACTTACATCGAATTTAAATTACGTAATCATTTGGCGAATACATTCAATGCCTGCATTGGCTCTCGGCGATGTTACTCCTCATCAGCGTCATCCGTAAAATCGATTATCGGTTTTTGTGGAGGTACCGAGTGCCGGTACCAATTAAACTCAAAAAACAGTATTAAAGTTTTATTAACAAACATTGGATTCTCATTACTCGCAGTATTCCATTTAGCTTATTTAGGTTTAATGTTTGACACTTCCGAGCTGCAAGAAACTGGCTATAATTACTTACATACTATCGAAAAGTGGTCACAACTCGGATTTGCCAGCCACTTGATAGCTCTTTCCACTTACATTATCTATTATTTAATAACTTAAATTTAAAAAATTAAATTCTACATTTGTACATAAATTTTTATATTTTTTATACGCAATAAAAAAAAGAATTTTTAGTAAATAATTTTGTTTTATTATTAAAATTGATAAAATATTAATAATAACAATTAATTACAATACAGAACTGTATGTTAATGTATTATTTTTTAATAATTAAAATTAACAATAGACAACATAATTATTACGTCTACGCGTACATACTTTGTTATATACACTAATTAAATTCGTGAAAATAAAAAAACCAACCAATTATCAAAAAATCAATTTGAAAAAATCTTTTATACAATCATAATCACAGTAGTGCCCAAAATATTTTATAAAAAGTGTTTTGTAGCAATAAAAATTGATCCATCATTTATTAAATATATATTTATAAACAATTACTCAGTAATTAAGTAACCAAAATTTAGATTTTAAATTAATATAATTTTGTATTATTTTTTACAGCTGCGCTTTTTAATTAAATCACTTTTATTTAAAAGTGCTCGTGATAAAAAGTATAAATATGATTTGTACTTGATAATTTTTAATATCAGTTTAATTTAATATTTTTTTTTTTTTTTCTACATTTATTATTCTGCCTCTATAATTTTTTATTTTATTATTATTAATATCAATAATAATTATGCATTTATTTATTGTGCGAAAAATTAAATTTAAAATACGTACGCATTTATATACATATTGTTAAATTTCTATCGATCAATTAACTCTAGACTCTACGTACATATTTATATTTTTTCTAATTTATAAAATGATTCGCTACAACAGAATCGTGTACCTAATATTATTATTATTATTTGTTTTTTTATAATTAATATTAATATTATGTCCTACCGTACGTATGTTAATAATAAATTGCAAAGTGATTATTAAACGTAAAAATAAATTTCAATAAAAAATTATCCAAAAATTATTACTGACGGTCATCGTTGTTGTTCCTTTTGCTGTTGTTTTTTTCTCGGCGAAGTTCTGCGAGTAGTTGAAATTTCTCCGGTGATAACTTTCCTTCGTTGGCGTTGTCTACGTCGCTTGACACCACTAAGAATATCGTCTTCGGTTAATCATCTGATAAATGCAGTTTTTGCTGTTATTGCCGTGCGCGCACTGCAAGTCACAAAGCAAACGGAATACGATTTTTTCGTTTTTTTTTTTTTTTTTTTTTTTTTTGTTAGCCACCTATGCAGTTCTTCTTTATCAATATAAATACTCCATAGTGGTTAAATATAAACCAAAATTACCAATAAAAAAATAATAATAATAATAAGGGTAAAAAAAATAAAATTATTCATGCAAAAAATAATAAAAAGATTTTTTTTTCATGCGATTCATGCCGATAATTTTTCCAAAAAAAAAAACCAGATGCAAATAAAAAAATTAAATCAATTTATTAATTGATTTAAAAACTTACTCTTTTTTAGAAAAGTAACGATTAACACGATCAGCAGATCTTAAAACCATACTACCAGTGTTGCTCGATAATTGTGTTGAATTTTGATTATTGTTATTGTTATTGTTATTATTATTACTGTTATTGTTGTTATTAGCAGCCGAAGTAGTAGAAGATGCAGTTGCCGTGGGTAATAAAGTTGGCCGGCGAATTTGCGTGATTATATTAGTGGTACTCGGTGACAATGAAGCCGGCTCGCGCGATGCGAATGACCGGGTTATCGGTTTTGTATTTGTACAGCCAGATCTTATCGCGCTGCTGCAGTTAGAGATCAGAACGCTGTTTTTATTGTGATTATTGTGGATCTGGGTTGTTGTTTTAGACCTCATGTAGCATGGAGATGGCCTGCTGATTGGACTATTACCGCTGCAGCTTAATCTTCGGGAGCTTCTATGAAATTTATAATAAATACAAAAATTATTATACTGAATTAAATAGACATCTAACAATTTTTTTAATTTTTATAATAACTAACTTATTAAAAAAATAACTTTTGTTAAATTGCACTCTAGTTTTTTAACTATTGACGTTTTTAAAGATATAAGCTCATTCTAATGTTACACTCATCAAGAGCTTTCATTTGAGTACCCACATCAATTTTTCATATATTTTATATATTTATATATATGTATATATGAAAAATTGATGTGGGTACTCAAACGAAAGGTCTCGATGAGTGTAACATCGGGATGAGCTTATATCTTTAGAAATGTCAATAGTTCACAAGATAAAAGTAAATTTCTTAATTAAGTATGAATTTTTAAAAATATTTTTTTAGAAGATTATATAAAAATTAAATTTTGAATAATTTATAGAAAAAAAAAAACCTTTTAACAAGTGTAGATGTTGCAGCAGTATTTGAACGTGATAACAAACGTTTATTAATATCTTTCTTCGATCCAATAATGGTAGCGATCGTATTATTGCTCGTTCCTTTCTGATTAGCTCGCGACGTCACTGAAGACGATGACGAAGACGTTGATGACTTCAGCAGTAAGCCCAAATTAGGACTACAGATAAAATAATTATATAGATCAATTGTTTTATGTTTACTGATGCATAGAAGCATTAATTTAAAATAATAATAATAACAACAATAATAAAGTACTTACAGCATAACAGTAGGCTGTCCGATGCCTTTCCTACCAATACTGAAATTATTAGTATAAGACGATGTCTGTCTACGCATTTTTATTTCATTGAGTTTGTCTCCTTGAGTTTTTATATTTAAGGCAAACCGTTGTGGGCGTTGCTGCTTTTGTTGTTGTAATTTAGCATTATTACCGGCACTGGTAATTGTCGACGTTGTTGTTGTTGTTGTCGATGTAGCAGTAGACGTCGATTTTGTGGATAATAACGAAGAGTCGTCCAGATGAATGTCATCTACACGATGGAGTATTCCAGAGACATTATCATTCGGCTGATGCGGTTCCAATGTTGATCCGCTTGGGTTCAATTTTGATGAGAATGCTAAGTAGGTTGATGTCCCACCACTGCTACAGCCCAGATTTGAATATATTCCACGCGAATGAGGTGGATTTCCATTGCTGTCTACTCGTAATGGCTCACGTAGTAAAGAATGAAGATAATATTCTTTCCTAGAATAATAATAATAATAACTTTGGTTAAATTGCACTGTACTTTTTTAACCATTGACATTTTTAAAGATATAAGCTCATCCCGATGTTATACTCATCAAGAGCTATCATTTGAGTACCCACATGCATTTTTATATATTTTTCATATATACATATATATATAAATATATGAAAAATTGATGTGGGTACTCAAATGAAAGGTCTTGATGAATGTAACATCAGGATGAGCTTATATCTTTAAAAATGTCAATAGTTCACGAGATACAAGGTCATTTCTTAATTATTGACATTTTTAAAGATATAAGCTCATCCCGATGTTATACTCATCAAGAGCTTTCATTTGAGTACCCACATGCATTTTTGATATATTTTTCATATATACATATATATAATATATATAAATATATGAAAAATTGATGTAGGTATTCAAATGAAAGGTCTTGATGAATGTAACATCAGGATGAGCTTATATCTTTAAACATGTCAATAGTTCACAAGATACAAGGTCATTTCTTAATTATATGTATCTAGAGTATAATAATAATAATAATAATAATAACAATAAATATTTAAAGAAATTAATATTCATTAAAAAAAAAAAAATCTTACTCTTCAAGCCATTGTTGCTGATGACCAATAACAGAACCAGGTCTGCATATTCTAATCCATGCAATTGTTTCATGGGCTGTTAAATGATAATGTTTCATTATATAACAGCCTATTAATGAACCTGTCCTACCCAGACCAGCTTTGCAGTGAACAGCGATAGCACCATTAGTATTTTCAGCAATTTTTAAAAATTGCCTGACAATGGCATCAGTTGGCGTCGAACCGTCTCGGAAAAATAAGTCACGATGATCAAACCCAGCATTAATAAACTGTGCTGCATCATAAATTTTTTTATTCAACCGTACGATTGTCGTAACATTATTTTGACGGAAGTAAGAAAAGTAAGACTCGGGTGCGTGCAGCGGGTATCCATTTTCATTGTTAAGTTTAGCGTGAGGTCCGCAAAACGCAATGAATTTTTCCGGGACGATCCAGTTCAGGTCTCCGTACTCAACTCGCTCGTAATACTCGTACTCTTTGACATTGAAGTCGTCAAAGTTGAAAAATCCCAATCTATGACACTCGTAAATGGCACTTAGACAATCCTTCAAGGAAATCTGATAACAGGGAGCACCAAATGATGCATCACGAAACATGATATATGGCGGGCTGTTCGGGCTGCTCACCAAGCTCTCGTACACTTCTCTAGCTGTTTTTTTTAAATAAAGAATCTGAAAAATTTCATTTATTTATTAATCAATAATTACTTCTCGCCGCTGCAAGCTTAAACTTTAAGCGTTATTTGAACTAGCAATCTTGCAGTCACTATGTGACTTGTGAACGATAAATAAATGAAATTTTACTTTATTGAATAATGAATTTTGTTAAATTGCACTGTAATTTCTTAACTATTGAGATTTTTAAAGATATAAGCTCATCCCGATGTTACACTCATCAAGAGCTTTCCTTTAAGTACCCACATGCATTTTTGATATATTTTTCATATATATATACATATATATAAATATATGAAAAATTGATGTGGGTACTCAAATGAAAGGTCTTGATGAATGTAACATCAGGATGAGCTTATATCTTTAAAAATGTCAATAGTTCACGAGATACAAGGTAATTTCTTAATCATGTATGTAGAGATAGAGACTTTTTGAATGCAGCCTAAATATTTATCATAAATTGACTATTGGTGAGAATGATATGAAATCTTGAAAGGGCACAAATTCAAGTCAAGACCTTTACAATGACACAAAATTTCATTAAAAAAAACCAATTTTATGATATGACGATTCTGGACACAAAATTTTTCTTCTTTTAATAATTTAGATTACTCTGCTGCCGCAGCAAGCGTAAACTTTAAGCGTTATTTAAATAATTAATCGATAAATAAATATCACACTTACTGCATAACTACCAGCTAGAAATGCTGCATTAACACGTTTTTCTGGTTCACTAGCTGTCGTGTAATGAAGAATTTTCTTCTTGAAAAACCCCGAGGTTTTTAATTTCTTCTCCACTTTCAGACAGTATCTGTACAGCATTGCCAAATTCAATGGCCCGAAATCAAAGTAAAAATTTTCATAAATTAATTCATCATCAACGCTGAAGTAATGTGTGTCTATAGTATTTTTTGGTTTAACATCTGCTTGCAGAGTTACAAAATAAAATCGATCTGAAAAATTAAAATTAGAATGAATAATAATAATAATAATAATAATAAAAAAAAATTCCTCCAAAATAAAATAAATATTTACCTTTTATCAACTCCGTGGCACACATAAGGATTGCATCTGAGCTCTCCATTGTAATTAATTATAAATACTCAATTTTTATTAATTAAAAATATGTTGATAAATTATTTACAATTATAAAATCTTTTCATGATTCAATTATAATAGCAATAATGCATGAATAAATTAAATAAAAACATCGATTTTAATAATAACAACTTGATGAGTTCTTCTCTAACAAACATACGTAATTACACAATATGTATATATAATATACAAAATACAAATATATATTACAGATAGACAAGTAAATAAAAATACTGTTTAGATTGACAATATGTGTAACATCTGCAAAAAAAATATTTGTTGTTAAACGTGATAATTAACTAAGTGAAAGTCATCCTAATTTATAAAATAACACCAGTGAGTATAATAAAGTCATATCAATTGGAGTTAGAATATAAAATAACATAACAGGTATATATTTTTTAATATCTTACTTGGAGGTAAGTAGAGCCTCAATTGTTAAAGTAAACAATTAGGGGTACTTATTTATTAAATACGCCGTAGAGTTATCTAGTCTTCGATTTTTTAACACAACACACACGATACGACCGTTACAAAATTTAAACTGCGTTACAGCAGCCCAGTGTAATCCAGTAATTGTAATTTTCAAGGCGATGGCTGCTGCTATACTCTGGGCAGACTCTATACTCTGCTATTCCTATTGTTGATACTTATGATGTTATATACTTCGGCTCCAATCTTTTAACTCTTTGCTATCTGACTGGAGATGGTAATAATAATTATTTTAATTATATATATCACCACTAGACATTTAATATATTTTTTTTCACCATAAATATTTATTATTTATATTAATTACCTCATTTTTTTTATTTTTAAATTCACTTACAATTTTACTTTCCAAGAGACACATGACAATAAATTAAAGTCACTTGATCATTTTTTTATTTTATTTCACAAAATTATTTTTAAAAATTCTAAACGTTAATTTTTTTTAATTATTTGTTTAAAAAATTATTTAATATCTGTTAAATTAATTTTCATAATCGACACACTTATTTAACTATATACAATTACACTCTTTAAAATAAAATACACTTTTTATTTAAAAATTTATTTTCACACACTTTAATTTTCATTTTTTAGAATTTAATTTAGTAAACTTAATTTTTTTTGACGTGAATAAAGAACCCGCACTCCAATCACGCCTTTGCAAATATAAATATATAAATTTATAAATATAATAAATATAAATATAGGTATTTAAGGTTCAATTCGAGATTCTACACTGGACAGTGCTGCCTCTTGAGAGCGAAATTTAAACTACTGAATAATAATAATATGTAAATACGAATGTAACACAAAAAAAATTGTGTTAATTTTTTTTAAAATATGTTTATTGGATGCCACGATATTAAATATATTAATTACATAACTATTTGGAGATAATAATTTAGAATTACGTTTCAGTTATAGAGTTTTACGGCTGTTGATCATCAAAATGGTAATTATATTAGTTTAATTGATTATTACTTAGTTTTTTATAAAAAAAAAAATTCATCCAAAGAATTTTATACAATTGCAGGGTATTAATTTGATAATTAACAGAGCTTACAGCACAAAAATGCGAGATGTAGTAATTGTAAGTGCTGTAAGAACACCCATGGGTTCGTTTTTGGGTTCACTGTCATCGGTACCAGCTCCAAAACTTGGTTCAATTGCTATTCAGGTAAATTTCTTCTTAAAGAATTTTATTGTAAGTTTTTTAATTAATTAAAATTAAATTAGTCGACATTTAAAAATTTTTTTTATTGAAAAAATTATATTAAAAAAAAAATTTTAATAATTTTTCTTATTAAAAAAAATTTGACATGTAATTTTTTTTTTAAGTCTTTTTTTATTTCTAATTTAATATGAAAATTAATTTAGAAATAATTTGATATTTTCAAGAATTTTTTTGACAAATAAATTATAAAAAAAAAAAATGACATGTAGAAATTTAAAAAAATTAAAAATGCAATTTTTAAAAAAATAATTTTTTGGAACAAATTTATTTGTCAAAGAAAAAACTAAAAAATAATCAAGTGACTGCTAACTTTAATGTCATAATTCAATTAATAAAAAAAATTAAAACATCGGCTAATTTTATTATAATTTATAATTAAACTTGATAATTAATCAACAGGCGGCTGTTGAGCGTGCACGTGTTACTAAAGACCAAGTCCAAGAAGTTTACATGGGAAATGTTTGTCAAGCAGCATTGGGACAAGCACCAGCTAGACAAGCAACTTTATTTGCCGGTATTAATTATTATAAACTTGTAAATTATTTTTAGAAGTAATTTAATTAATTAATTAATGACTAGAATACTTGATAATTAAATAATTATAATTTTAGGTCTACCAAAGTCGACAATATGCACAACGATAAACAAAGTCTGTGCAAGTGGGATGAAAAGTGTGATGCTAGCGGCCCAAGCATTGCAATGTGGCCACCAGGATATTATTCTGGCTGGTGGTATGGAGTCAATGTCCAACGTTCCTTACTATTTAAAACGGGGTAATACTCCCTACGGAGCAGTCACGTTGCAGGTAGTTTTTAATGATAAATATAAATACATCAATGTCATCTGTGGAACATAGAAGAGATTGATTGATAGAATTTTTTATGTAGGACGGTATTGTACATGATGGATTGACAGACGTTTATAATAAAGGGTTCCACATGGGCAACTGCGCAGAGAATACAGCTAAGAAATTTGGAATCACTCGGCAAGAGCAAGATGACTTCGCGATCAGCAGTTACAAGCGCAGTGCATCCGCCTGGCAAAACAAAGAATTCCAAGATGAAATTGTTCCTGTAAGCGTTCCGACTAAACGCGGGATGCCTGATTTAGTCGTGTCTGAAGATGAAGAATTTAAGCGCGTTAATTTTGATAAATTTAGAGAACTTAAAGCTGTTTTTCAAGTAATTAATTTTCTTTTATCTACTAATTAATTTATAAAAATTATAAATTTATTAATAGTTGATTTATTATGATAAGTAGTTAGGCTGCATTCCAAAATACTCTAGCTCTAGCTACATAATTAAGAAATGGCCTTGTATCTTGTAAACTATTGACATTTTTAAAGATATAAGCTCATTCCGATGTTACACTCATCAAGACCTTTCGTTTGAGTACCCACATCAATTTTTCATATATTTTATTTATTTATATATTTCACAAATACCATATATATAAAATATATAAAAAATGCCATGTGGGTACTCAAATGAAAGATCTCAATGAGTGTAATATCGTGATGAGCTTATATCTTTAAAAATGTCAATAATTAAGAAATGACATAGCTATTTTGTCAGCTAATGATATTTTTAAAGATATAAGCTCATTTCGATGTTACACTTATCAAGAGCTTTCATTTGAGTACCCACATGCATTTTTATATATTTTTCATATACACATATATATAATATATATAAATATATGAAAAATTGATGTGGGTACTCAAATGAAAGCTCTCGATGAGTGTAACATCGGGATGAGCTTATATCTTTAAAAATATCAATATTTATAAAAATACAGTGCAATTTAACAAAATTCATTATTTTTAGAAAGAAAATGGAACTGTTACTGCTGGAAACGCATCAACGCTAAATGACGGAGCGGCTGCATTGATTTTAACCACCAGCGAAGTGGCTCAAAAGTTAAATCTCAAACCTTTGGCACGGATTGCTGGATTCCAAGATGCTGCTACTGATCCCATTGACTTCCCAATTGCTCCCGCTTTTGCAATTCCAAAAGTAATAACTATTGCTTAATAATTATTACAATCAAATATAATAAAAAATTTATTTCTTCAGCTACTCGAAAAGACTGGAGTAAAAAAAGACGATGTAGCACTATGGGAAATAAACGAAGCATTCAGCGTCGTGGTGGTTGCCAATCAAAAACAATTAGGTCTTGATCCAACTAAAGTAAACGTTCATGGTGGTGCAGTGTCTCTTGGTCATCCAATTGGGTGAGTAATTTTTCGTGCTTTCGTAGTCAGAGCGTCAATCAATCTTATTTATAACAAAATCTTTTTTATTGTTAGAATGTCTGGTGCTAGAATAATTGTTCATTTAGTTCACGCTCTTAAGCAAGGGCAAAAGGGAGTTGCGTCGATTTGTAACGGTGGAGGCGGCGCATCGTCTATTTTAATTGAAAAATTGTAAGTTTTAATTTACTCCATTCCAAAGGACTGCTTTTATATTCAAGACAAATTTATATATTTACAAGTTTATATATATATATAAAAATGTATATTTTATTAATTTTATATTAATAAAAAATTATTAATGATTCTGGTGTCATATTTTTAAAATAATCAGTACGTTATTAATTTTGGTAAATAAATAGAAAAAAAATTTTTTATTTAATTAATATTAATAATAATAATTAAAAAAATTTTTTAATTGTTCGATTTTTTATTTTAGTCTTTAAAAAATCAATAATTATAATTAATAAAAATTCGACAAGCCCCAAATTATTTATTTGCTTACCAAAATTAATTTCATTGTTTACGATAATGATTATACTCTTTAATATAAAAAAGATATCAATATAGGAGCCATGAAATTTCGCCGAGCCCATCGCTACCAAGACTACAGTTATTCACAAAAAATCCATGCCCATTGTGTGACGTCCTGAAAGCAGAACTAGAGGCCCAGTTCCACGGTTGCTATGTGCTCGAGCAAGTTGACATTAGTTCGCCCGGCAATGAGGGCCTGTTCGAGCTCTATAGGTATCAAATTCCGGTTCTCTTTTTTGAGGGGCATTATCTCTGCAAACATAGATTGGACGTCGAACTCTTGAGGAAACGTTTCGACTATTTCTTCCAGCTCCAAAGCCAAAATCCAGCATGTTAATTAAATTAGCAGTTCAACAATTTTTTATTAATTAAATAAAAACTAAAACTAATTTTAAAAAAATTGCACATATAGTTTTTTAAATTTTCTACAAGTGAAATTTTTTCTTTTAAATAATTTTTCAATAAAATAAATTTTCAGATGTCGGCTAACTTAATTTTCATAAAATTCAACCAGTCTAACTTGACTGTAAATGCAAAATCATCTTCATCATTGTCACCCAAACTTTTTTAAGCCAATAAAAATTTAAACAAAAATCTAACAACTTTTTCGCAGGCAACCCATATCCCAAGGACGGATTAAAAAACAAAGATAAAATTTCGACGCCAATGCGAGGGCCCGATCCCGCGCTCTTTGAAATCCGCTATCCCCATCACATCCACAAGCTTATTTATTCCACACATGGAAGCCATAATGGGCCTACAATCTCGATTACTGTGCTCGCAAACCAGCTCTCCTTCTCAAGCATTCACCAGCACCTTCCACCTTCTCCCTTCTCACTAAATCGCGAGTCATACTCGTACATTTATTTGAATATTATAATACATAGACAATTTATTCCCTCTAGATCCAACAAATCCATTTCTTCACACTTTTACTTCGTCTCTCCCTCTCTCCAGCTCTTACTCATTCCGATTTTTTATCTATTTTGATGAACGCTGAATATATCTGACCTATTATAAATCGCCACCTCTTTCTCCGCAAAGTATTGTGTGTGTGTCCTGTATTATCCTTGTCTTAATCATTCGCCACCAATAGATCACTAGATTTCCCTCTTTCTCTCAGCTTTCTCTCTCTTTTTATCACGCTCTCTTGACTCTACTCTGTGTACTTTTCTTCCATTCCCCATTTATATGTGTTGGTTCCATATAATATATGGAACTCACACACACTTCGGCAAATAAAACATCCACATCTACATCGACATCCCCTCACTTAGACACTTTCATCGTCTACACATACACTCATGTGAATGGGTGAATGCACGCGCTCCGAAAAGGCCCCATAGTCAAAGTCTCTCATTCTCGTTTAGTTCTTTAGTATCGCGGCGACTTGTTTCGTATTAATACTCAATATTTTACATGGTAAAAAACACCATAAAATGTACATACTGCTGTATTGATACTTGCTATTATTTATATTTATACTCCAATAGTTAGAATTTTTATTTAAATAACTTAATCATAAATATCAATTAAAAATAACTTGCCATTAATTTTAAATAAATTAGAAAAGTTTTTTTAAAGTAATATTTAGTGCTGTGCTATTGCCATTTCTTCTTTTATTTAAACGACCTGCTTGCGGGTATCAAGTTCGCAGGATATTGTAAAGGATTTGTGCTACTTATTATGCACAAAGAAATGAGAATAAAAATATCATTTACCGTTTGTTAATTTTTACTGTTAAATTGTTACTTTTGCGGTAAACTAACTAATAGTTTATACGATGGATTACTTGCACGTACTTGAAGAATATATTATTTTTTGGTAAGTATATTTTTTATCAGAATAATTTATAAAAAAGAATAGTAAAAGTTTTCTTATAAATTACTCTATTTATTTTTAAATCAAGATTTATCTCTAGTTCTTTAATATGACAAGCGTTATTTATTATAACTTATTTTTCATTATATAAACTATTATATTGTTGACAAGTGAAAAATATTTTCACATACTTTCTCTAGTTTATTCAATATTAATATTTATTTTCATTTAATTAATTCATCTAAATCCGGGTTTTATCTATTAGAGATAATTAGTCGAAAGAAATGATATTTTATTTTAAAGTAATGCAGAGTTTTTTTTAACCGATTGAACAAGTGTTTTATTTTTAAATTTAAATTATGGATAGTTTATGCTCGAATATTATGTACAAGACAATAAGATGTAATGCAGATATTGTATTTGCGCTCAGGAGTAATGCAAGAAGAATAAAATGGCTGACCGTGACTTATTGAAGCTAATTTTATTTTTATTTATAGTTTTAATCGACAGAGTATGAATATATATATATATATAGAGAGAGAGAGAGAGAGAGAGCGACGTAATATAACGAAAGATTATCTGGACAATTTATAAAAAAGGTCATTGACTCATTGCTGGTAAACACGCGGAGAATGAATTAATTTAATGATTAATTTTTAGAAAAAAAAATTTAAGAGTTAAAAGTGAAATTTTATTGACATTGAAAAAAAAGTTTGGCGATTTTTTTAATTTTTTAGCGACAGGTTTCACTCCTAGCCTGTGTAGTGGTCAGTGAAAAAATCAATGTCGAGGTAAATAAGTTTGTTGCCTACACGCATATATCATATATATATATATTTATCGGGATACTCAGACGTTTATATAGATTTTATTTTAGTTTGTTTTGACAAACTCGACGGAAAATTTTAATCTTTTATTTGCTTTTTCAAATTTATTTATAATATTTTTAAATTATCTAATGTTTTTTTTTACTCTTGAAAAAATAAATAAATTTACTGGGACTAATGGAAGATGTAATTTATGTATGTACGCTCAGTAAATTTAGAGGGAAAAAATAAAGACTTGTTATTTACAAACAAATAAATCCTATTATCTAAAAATTGTTTAGACAAATGTAAAAGTAAAATTGAAACCACGTGCAGGCATACCGTCACCTTTTTTAACGATTTTATGAATCATCACAAAAAATAAGTACCCATGTATTATTATTGTTGTTATTTTATATTAGAGTGTATTGTGAACTGTAGTTATATTGCCTGGGAGTTGAATAAGAATGTAACTCATTTGTATTGAGTGTATATGTGAGTAGGCGTCAATGTACACCATTACACGCGGTCTGTAATCGATGAATCATACAAAACACTTATGTATATATTAGGGCTGGCCCTGTCCCCCGGCAAACAAATTAAATTCACTCGAAAACGACCCTATTGTCCAATACAGAATATTATTTGTCTGGTTTTTATAAGTACTTGTCACTTTTGGGGTGTAAGTTAGTTTTTTTAAATTATTTTACGGGAAAAAATTATTTTACTTCAGAAAAATGCTAAATGATGGATAAAATATTTATTAGTCAATTTTCAAATTTTTTATATATTTTAATTGTAATTAAAAGACATTAAAAATATATAAAATGTATGAAATTATAAAAAAAAATATATAAATTCATTCATTATTAATCATTTTTAAGTTTTTAATTTTTTTAATTATATTGTTGATATAAATTTATAAAAAAATTAATTTAATTCAAAAGAAGAAATCTTGAATAATTTTTTTTTATCAATGCATTTTATTTTTAATATTTTTTTAATGCATTTTAACTTTACTTAAAATAAATATAGAAAAATCGATAAAAAAATTTATTATTTAATTTTATTCACGGTAAAAATTCTATCTTAAAATATTTTGTATTAAATTAAACATTTAGCACAAAATTTTTTGACGTAAAAAAATTTTTTACTGTGTTCTTAATATTAATTAATTTCATAGAAAAAAAATTAACTAACTATTAAAGATAATAAATACATCGAAATACAATCGATAAAAATATTATTTATTAATTAAATAATAGTCAGTAATGAATGCTAATGACATTGGTACGTATTTAATAACTATTGTGTTATAAATTATCACTTGAATGTCAACCGAGCGTTAGGCTTCGATTAACGTCTGCTCAATCCGCCGCGTACAATAAGAGCGTAAGCACACATAATTAAAAAAAATAAAAATAGTAAGTTAAAATTCTCAAGTCATAAAAAAACCAATCAAGCAATTAATTTTTACTTTATTTCCAGAAGTGACTAATACCTCGAGCAGGATGGCGTCGAGCGATCGGAAAGAAGAAGAAGACTTAATAGACTTGGACGGACGAGCTTGCGTGTCAGTTGTCCCTGTACCCGAGACAGTGACCTCAGAAGAGCATCTTCTGGACGTCAATCCGCCGCAGCTCGAGCAGAAGCTGTCTCTAACGCGAGAACAGAAGCTAGTTCGCCAGCACTGCGACAATGGGGATGTCCTGGTGACCCTGGGACACGATCAAGTGGTCCCCGTGAGGAAGAGGATTGATGTTGTCTCCTCGGAGACGATTAAAAGAATCCGCGTTATTACTAAAAACCTCGAGCCTGTTATTAAGGCGTCTCAACAGCAGATTCGACGCTCCAGCGAGAGTGAAAATAATAACGAGTTTAATGGTCCAAGGACTCATCTCGGGGATGACGAATCAACATCGGGTCTTGATGTTAATAATGTGGAAATAAAAGCGCCCGATGGAAATGAATTATCTAGAGGAAATGGAGAAAAAACTGAAGATAAAAAATTGTGGGCTAGAAATTCTGATGGATTATTTGATGAGTTTAATTGTGAGCCTTCAACATCCAATCATCAGATTCTACCAACTCATTCCAAGTCATCCTCTATCGGGTACAGTACTATATACATTGTTTTTATTTATTTTTACATAGAAGAATTATTTACTGTATTTTGGTTTTAATTTCAAGTTGAAAAAAAGTATTTCTTTGGGTTGTGTTTCTATTGATTAAAGGAAGCTATGTTTATTTTTTTTCGTGTATGTTTATATTTATTTTTACTTGCACATATGTACATATCAGAGTTTATATTGCGGTAATTTAATGACAAGTTTTTTGCTACTTTATTTATTGATAAGTACCATTAAAATTAATGACGCGTTAGTGCATTTTTAATGCTCTGCATGCAGGTTCATTGCACGGAAGTTTATCGTTAGTCAGATGGTACTGTTAGATTTTTTTTTAATGTTATTTAATTTATATTATATTATGTTTACTCTGTATGTAGAAAAATTACAGCAAAGAGTTTGGTCAGAATGTTTAAAGTAAATTTTTCTAGTTTAAATTATTGAGCTATGATTTGAGTAATAAAAATGAATTTCGCGATTTATTGATAGATTGAAGTGACCTCGTCGGTTAACTAGTCGTTGCTTTGTGATAAGAATCTTTAAATTACTCAATTTTAATGATTTAAAATAAATTTCTTCTTACATGAATAGTTGTAAGATTTTATAAATTAACAGAAATGTGTTTTGAAATAATTGATGAACTACTTTGTTAAAACATTTCAACAATGGAAGTAGTTTATTTCCTGTTGGTCTATTTTTAGCCGGTTGATATGTCTTAAAAAATAGTTTTTATCACAATTTATTTTGCAAGGCAATGCGGGGTTTATCTTTGAGATAATGTTAAAGAGTTTTATTATAATAATTCATTTATTATATTAGAAAACCATTCAATTTTTTGTTAATAATTTTTCAAACTTATATAATATAATATAAAATTTTTACTATATTAATACTTTAAGTGAAATTTATATTGTGTTATACAATTACTTCATTAATTTATTCTTAGAATTTTTTTTTTTTATAATTTAATTATTTTAAATTAGCATTGAATATTTATTATATAAATTTATTCTTAGAAGATTAATTAACAACTCATTTGATACTTGTCATTAAATTACATAATAATAATAATAATAATAATAATAATAATAATAAAATTAATATTTTAAAGGCATTCATCAGAAGTATTAGCATCAGGATCATCTTCAGAGTGTTCAGAAGTAGATTGGTCGTGGGTAGAAGAACTAGAGCGTCAACGTTCGCTATCAATGCAATCACGTCGCCCGAAGTCGTTAATCTCAATGTACACTCCCACTTCAGTAGCCCCATTGGACTCGTCGGGCACTACCAGTTTACCAACACCACTAACAGCATTAGAGAGTCCATCCTCACCATCAGTAGCAGCAGGTGTGACTGTTACCTACACTCAGGAGAGAACCCAGAGCCAGAAACGCATGCGTTCCTCCACGGGGCCAGTCGCCTCCAGCGATGGCCATTCAAACAGCAGTATCACCATGCCCGTCGACCCGACGCCGGCTAAATCGATATCCTCCAACCTGGTCACCGCGGACACTCTCCCCGAGGACTTCTCCATCAGTCGAGACTTAAACTTCCTGGGCAATGGCACGTCGACCTCCACCGCGACTTCAACTTCCACGTCCACCACGTCAAACTCAACCCCGCTGTCCTTCGAGCTGGACCAGATCGACCACGAGGACGCGGGGATTCCCATCAACAACTCTCCCGCCAGCGGCTCGTCCTGGATGCGGGCCTCGATGCGCAGGCTTCGGCACCTCCGTCTTCCCCAAGGATCCACCAGACAGAGGACTCACCGACCTTTGACCGTCGACGCCATCGAGTCCTCTTCATTCACCACCACTTCAACCTCTTCCTCGGCTTCCTCCTCTTCAGCTTCGTCATCCAGGCCCATTTCCGCGCCAAATTCCCTCCCGGACATCGCGCTGATTGCTCCGGAAATTCTGGCTGCTCACACCAACTCAAATCCCGGAAACTCAAACTCCAATTTGAGACCCTCCAGTGCTCCAGTCGCCGTAGGAAGGACTAATAACTCCTTGACACCAAGAACCAGGGGAAGAAGAACCGCGAACAGTTCGCGAGGCAATAACAGTGTCGCTAACAGATCTTGTCGGCGTAATAGTAACAGGAATAATAATTCTGTTAATAATTGTGCTAATGGTGATAATAGTGATAATGTTAATAATATTACGAGAATAAACTCTCCCCAGCATACGAGCTCTACTCCGTCCAGACGGTGAGTTTAATTCAATATTCTCCATTAACAATATTAACAAGATTACATTTTTTTTTTTCTGATTAAATTACTGCACTGATAGAAAGATTTTTTAACTATTAATAATTTAATTTATTTGAAGACAATTATTTAATTTTAATAAATATTTTTTAACATTCAATAAATATTTATTTGATAGGAAAGTACATTCATTGATAATTAATAAGTATTTATTAATAGTTAACAAATATTTACTATCATTTAATAAATAATTTATTAAGTGTTAATAAATAATTCGACGGTCTAATTAGCACTAACTCCTTATTTTGTAAAGGGTGATTTTTTAACATTTTGATGTAGCAGTAGTTCAATTATAAATTATTTAAACAATCCAAACCAAGATATTATACCTCTAATAGATATTAAATAACTTTTTTAAAGTGATATTAAATTTTTAACTAATTGTTTTATTGTAAACATGGAAAATTCTCTAAAATGGAGTTAAACGATTTGCTAATTAGAACTCGATTTATTACATTCTATGATGTTAAAAAATCATTTATTAACAGTTGATAAAGCTTATTGAATATAAACAAATCATTTTATCAGTGTGGTGACAAAAGTTTTATTTATTGAAGATTTATCATTTCTTTATATATAGACTTAATTAATTAATTAAGAAATAAGCTGTTAGTCACAAAAAAAGTTTGTGTTTTTGTATGCATTGTTTCCCGAGGAATTTAAATACCGAGTTTTTATTTAAATTTATATTATAAACAAACGGCATATGAGAAAACACCAGCGTGCATTGTCTTCGTCTCCTTTCGCGTTTAAGATTATTATGTTTATGCATACAGACGGTATATACATGCAGTGCCGTTAATCGTTCGCGTTTCGACGCACTGTACTGTACTCCACTCAGTATAAATGTAAACATGTACATATTAAACGTAGGCGGTCAATATTTTTTCTTCGAGTTAAATGTAATTGTGATTCATATTTTTATTTTCATTCCATCTCGGTTGAGGATTCCATTCCACACAAGAAATCTGTGTTGCGGTTCTTCGCTTCAGAGAACTTGCAGTTTTCTGGATTACATTTTCTTCCTTATTTTCTACTGCTCTATTATATGATGTTACATTAATTATTATTTTTTAATTGCTTTGCCTTTATGCAACTCCTGATAAAATCCGCTAATTTTTAAAACAATTTTAGTTTAATTAAACAAACTCTAAAGGATTGAAACTTTAAATCCTTTATTTAAATTTTTATTTATGATTTTATTTTACATTATAAATATATATGATATATTATAATATATGTAGGTAAAAACCATATGTCAAAAATGTTTCTCCGTACGGGCTGTTCCACCGCGCACCGTTACGCAACATAATTTTTTCTTTATTTCTATTGTTATCCTGCAGCGCAGCCCTGTTTGAAGTTTTAATTAATTTTTTCTTCACTTATCATTTCATCATGACTTTAAAATCTAAATTACGGTGAATGCCTTGAAATTATATCACCATAATATTATTATAAGTAGTATAACATACACCGGTGACTGTGAAGGCTTCTTGAGAAGATTTGTTCTCATCATCTCAGGCCGGATGTAGTGAGTCGCTCTTGTTAACTATTTTATAGAATCCACTTTCTTTTTTCATCTCTTTGAATATTAAGAATAATTAATAATAGAGTTTAGAAAATATTAATATAAATATTCTGGTATTTTTTTTTATACCTTGTAAGTCAGCTGGTGAATAAGCGCTTTATCATTAATTACTGGATAATTATTTTTCCGTGGATACTGACATAACAGTTTGTTAACTGTTAATAAAATTATTTATTTAAAAAATTTTTATTTAGTTTATAAAAGGTAGCAATTTTTTGTCTTTTCATAAAAAATTTTATTTTATTTTTTATCTAATTAACAAATATTAATAATTTTATTTAATAAATCATTTTTTTAATAAATAAAATTTATTAAACGTTAAAAAGTCTTCCTATGAATAAAAACTAAGAAAAAATTTAATTTGACTCAAAAAAATCATTAAATAATTTTATGATTTTATTAAATTAAAAATTATTATTTTTCTTAAAATTTTTCTACATTAAAAATCATCAATTTCTTCTTTTTTTAGTTCAAAATTTTTTCTTTTGACTAAACTAAATTTTTTTTAATCAAAAACAAAACAAATTTATAATTTTCTAACAAATATTACCCATAAAATTAACATTTCTATTTATCTCGCGCTTTATACGCGTCAATGATTTAATTACTCAGGGTCGATTGAACGACTGTACTACTAACTCTAAATAAACGATTTAATTAGCAGCGTTTACTTAAAAAACAAATTAAAACAAACAAAAAGACCTCAAGAATAAAACTAGGACTATAAAAAATGATTTCCTACTTAATTCCGGGTAAAAAATTAAAATTAATTGCCTACAATTATTTAAACCACATTCCGTGATACAAAGTATCTCTCCCACAAATAAAGTACCTGAATATTCATTAAATCCCATGTTACGTTATAATAGAAGTTAGCTTCTTTCTATTACATCGACGTGTTATATGTACTGCTGATGGTATTGATTGTTCTTTACTTGGCTCGGCCTAACCGGTGGTCAGCCTGGTGCAATTGCAGTTGAGTTACCGATATATACGTTTGAGGGCATCCGATAGGGGTATTATATCGTGACGATGCGACCTTGCACCGGTTTCAATGTCACATATTATTCCAAATAACTTTCACGTTATTATTTATTCTACACTTAACTTTAGATAATTTTAATCTTTAGCTTATCTTGGTACTTCAGTTGGCTCAAATTAACTGATAACGGGATATTTATCGCCGTACCCGCATTCCCACATCATTATTTTATTGTCCAATGTATACGTGATGCATTACACGACGACACGAGTTTCTTTTTACTCTATCCGGACTTTCTCTCTCTAGCTGGTTTTTTCGTTGAAATAATACAATTAGACTAGTATAGTGCCCAGAGCGCGTAGCTCCGGTTTTTAAAATGAATTCATTACTTGCAAGAAACAATGCTTCGAGCGAAGTATTCTACGTAGCACGTGCATCTATATACATAACTACGTAAATTGTCAGGATGCGCTTTTATTATTTTCTAAACATTTTTATTAAATGTATCGTTGACAGGAAGAAATTTTTTTTTCATTCTTTTTTAAGTAAAATTTTTTATTTTTAATTAATCTTGCAAAATTAATTTATATAAATAAATAAAATTTTGCTTTAATATTGAATAATGAATTTTCTTAAATTGCACTGTACTTTTTTAACGATTGACGTTTTTAAAGATATAAGCTCATCCCGATGTTATACTCATCAAGAGCTTTCATTTGAGTACCCACATGCATTTTTATATATTTTATATATTTATATATATGTATATATGAAAAATATATCAAAAATGCATGTGGGTACTCAAATGAAAGGTCTCGATTAGTGTAACATCGAGATGAGCTTATATCTTTAAAAATGTCAATATTTGACAAGATACAAGGTCATTTCTTAATTAATGACATTTTTAAAGATATAAGCTCATCCTGATGTTACTATCATCAAGAGTTTTCATTTGAGTACCCACATACATTTTTGATATATTTTTCATATATACATATATATAAATATATGAAAAATTGATGTGGGTACTCAAATGAAAGGTCTTGGTGAGCGTAACGTCAGGATGAGCTTATATCTTTAAAACTGTCGATAGTTCACGAGAAACAAGGTCATTTTTTAATTATGTATCCAGAGATAGAGCATTTTCGAATGCAGCCTAAATATTTATCATAAATTGACTATTGGTAATTTTATCATATGAATACACTGGCCACAAAATTTTGCTTTTTCTCTCAATAATATAAATTAAAATAATTTAAATTTTTCAAGAAACTTTAAAAAAAAATCGAGAAAAATAATTTTTTAATTTTTGCAAGAAAAAATTTTCAATGAAATATTTTAGTGATTAATTCAATTCCCTTGTATTAATAATCCGTAAAAAAAAATCCTTGCCATCCTGGGAGTCCTTGAGGGAAGAATAAATAGGAAGAGTGAATTTAATAGGCACAAGTTGCACCAAAGGATGACGAAAGTCTATTTCATCTTGGGAAAAAACAACCGGGGCTGCATGAGTGTGTGGATGATGTGAGCAATGTTTATCATGATGTTCACCACTCATCCTCAGAGGCATTTGCAAGCTATATGTATAAACTGCATCGACTCGCCAATTTACCTCTTTATGTATCTAGACTCCTGATACCCTCACTGCAGCGGTGTTGCACAAAGCGCTGCACATGCTCCCCCACTTTGTTCCCGTTCCTCCGCATGTCTGACTCTCGGCCAATACACTCCTCCCTCTGCTCAAGCCCAGCTGCAATTCTTGGGTGTGTTGTGTTGCATGTGAGCCAATACATGTGCGAGCTTCTCATGCACCGAGCTGGCCACTGCACTCTGCACTGTCATTGTATTAAGGTCTGATATATACAAGACTGTATTGATAGCTCTATACAACATGTGCTCTTGCTCACGTATGCACTGTGTACTCGATTTTATAGTGTACAGGGAGTTGTCAATGCAACGACCGTCTAACTTGTAATCAATTGCATCGTGTCGGTTTAGACAATTTATATTTTATTTTGTTCTATATGTATTTATTTTATGTTTCTTTATTAAAAAAATATTTTTCCATAAAATTCTTTTTTTTTTAATAAAAATTATTTATAAAATATATTAACTAATAAAAAATTATATTAATTGTTAATAAATTAATTTTTTTTATTTTATTAAATTTAAGTAATTTTTTTTTAATTTTCATTAAAATTTTTTGGGAAAAAAATTATATTTTATGTTTAAAAAATAAAGTAATAATTTTCCTGATCTATTACAATTTTTTTTATCTATTTAACTTATGACGTGATAAAAATGTCTCAATAGAATTTCGTCACTCATTCTTTAGTCAAGGACCCAAATAAATTTATCAGTTAAAAAATATTTAATAAAACTTTAATATTAAAAAATTTTTCTAAAATTTGTACTTGAAATTTTATTGAAAGTCTGAAGACTCGAGATTCAATAGAACTTTTTATGAAGAATATTAATAAAGAAATAAATTTTAGATTAAATTATTCTCTGATTTATGAAGCAATTTTTTTTTAATCAAATTTCAATTTAAAAGTGGGAAGAAATAATTCTCTAGGTCAAATTTTTATGAAACTAAATTAAATTAAAAAAATTGAATAAATTTTTATAAAAATTTAGTATCCTCTTTAAAAAAATCAGCACAAAAGAAAACTAGCTGGTAGCTGAAAGAAATAATAACTTCTGAACGTGCAGTAAGCAGTGCAATCTAGATGACAAAGAAGACTGTGATGTTTTTTATATTCACTAAGAAAAAATGTTAGATTATAAACAAATTATTATCCCTTATTGAGTTCTTGATAATTATATGAGATTTTATATATAAACAAAAATGTAGCAAAGTTTGTAGAACAGACTGTACATCTGGTAAAAACATAATAAAAAAAAATTTATAAAAATTTAAATTAAAAAAAAATCTAACTCCAAAAAAATCTTTAAAAAAAAAAATTTCAATTTAAAAAATAAAACAATAAACATTCTTTATCTCAACAAACAAACAAAATTGTGCAAATATTTATCGACTGACAAACCGAATTGTTTTATCATAAAAAAACATAAACTAAATGAAAAAAAAAAAAAAAAATCATCAATCCTTAGTCACTTTATTCTCCGAGGCGTTATCATCGTCAGTGGCCATAAACTTAATATTCCTTCCACAGTAATTTACCGACAATAAAAATCTAAATTTTTCGGAAAAAAATAAACAACTCTGTCTCACGTGACTTGCAGCTTACAGTTATACCTGCTGCAAGTTCAGCCGGTAGACGGTGAGTAGTCTAGTGTATGTTTAGTTATACGTGTGGTGACCACCAAGGCCTAGAAGGCGGTAGTCCAAGTAAAGCCACCAGCTATATCACACGCGTTAAATCGCCTCAGTAGTCGCGAATCAGAAGTTAAGTTAAGCATAAACATCAAGTCCCCGGTTAAGTGTGCTGCTACGGTATACGATACTGTTTAATTTAACGGGACCAGTGGATTTTTACAAATTTATATTCTCCGTCTAATCTCTTAATCTGCAGCTCCTACAATACCAATAATAACAACAACAATAATAAATTTCAAATTAGTTACATGAATCAATTACATCGAATAATTGACAACTTTTTTTACGATCAATTTTCTGTTTGAGATTGCGCTCGAAACACGCGTGTTAATTAATACTCCATTTATTGCAACAATAAAATTTATTTTTATTTAATTGCAATTATGTAATTTAATAACTCTCGCAATATTTATGTGACATAAAAATAATTACAAATCACTGCAAATTGCTCCTAGTTAAATAAAAATAAAAATTAAAAGGCTAATTAAATTTAAATTTTAAATAAATTTGAATATAGTGACATGAGGAAGAAATGAATTAACAATTACTTCATCAATACGGCACAAGTGTACGCCGGACTCGAGTAAAATAAAACATGGACAAGTGTCAATAAGTACAATCGGGCTTTAACTTGTTCGTGTATTAAATATATATAAATATGTATAGATAACATGCAATGAATAAAGCGAACAAAGTGAATAAAAATATTGTACATGTGTGGTACAATTATTATTGTTGTTATTAAGTAAGGAGTTAAGTCTTAACTTGACGCGCTCGGAAAATCGCGGTATCAGGCAAACACGAGGCGTGTGAGTAAAGAGGTGATATTTCCGCGCGTTTTTCCGACGTCGCGGCATCTATAGATATATATATATATATATATATTATTGTTATTATATATATTTTATATATATGTGGGGATTATTGCTGGTAAGACTCAACTGCCCGATGCGACTTGTCGAATACACGGTCCAGAGTGCATGTATAATGTATAGAAGGCTACCACGAGTATACACTTGTTCATATATATAAGCATGATATGATGAACTACGACAACGCGACAATATGCAGGGGGTACTTTTACTATAGCCAGAGAAGACAACGGCCAAGGTACTTTTTGAAGTTCATATCACGATTTTAAAAAAAAAAAATTCCTTACAATTTTTTTTTGGCTTTGTTTTGGGAAAAATAGAATTCTTAGTGAATTAAGTGGTAATTCACGTAAAAAAAATATATTTAGGATGGTATTGTTTTGGAACAATTGTAATTTATACAATAGTTTTCTTTTTAAATTTACTTTTGTTTTTTTTAACAATTGTAGTAATATTAATTGTAAATATTGGTAAATACCGTGAAATTAATTTATTTAAAGAAGAAATATACTTTTTTAAAACTTAGTATAGTTTTTTTATAAAATTATTAATAAACTTTTAATTTAAAATTCAGAATTAAATTTTTTTCTACTATAGATAATTGATATAAATTGTAATCCATACTTCAAAATCTATCATATTAAAAAAAAAAGAATTTATTTAGCGTGAAATTAATTTATGTAAAGAAGAAATATATTTTTCAAGTATCAAAAACCTCTGTGTAGTAATAAATTGATATTTAAACTTGATTAATTACAAAATACAATAAAAATTTAGTTACATCTGGTACTTGAACATCGATAAGTAAAGCACTTGTTAATATATTGCGAATATATTTGATAGTGATTAATTACTTTGAAATTTACTCTCAGTCGCGAGTCAATTGCGGTGTAATAACAGCTCTTATTACTCGGTATTGTTTCTATCCTTGATAAATGCCGTTTTGTTGCTACTTATTTATTTTTCAATTTTTCTTATATAAACCACGTTACATCTAACCGCGGAGGTCAAATGTTTGTAACAGATTTGCAGTTTAATTGATACTTTTTATATAGTGTAGTATATTGACCTGATTAGTCGATTTATTTTCGCGACAATGATTTCAAACAGGTATCAACCTTTAATTGACCTTGGACATCTAAATAAATAAATAAATATAATATAAAATAATATAATTATTGTTGAGGTATTCAGTGATTAGTAGGCTGTTTTTCTGATAATTATTATCTATATCGTACCACTTTTTACAGTGACGGTTGTGCGAGCTATTAAAGTATTACGTGATGTTTTTCGAGATTAAGTAATCGATTAATTATTGTTATTATAATCGGTGAATATTTTTAAATAATTCATTTTTTTGGCTGAAAAGTTGTTTAATGTGAGTTGATACAATGCATGGAATAATTATTAAGCCGAGGTTGTTAGACCTTGACCGTTCTATATACTAGTATGGGCTGAAATTTTTTTTAAGTTCATTAATTATTTATGAATCTTACTTAATTAGGCGTCAGTTGATGACCAACACGTAATTTTAAGAATTAAAAAAATTATTTTTTTCATTTACAATTTTAATACAAAAAAAATTTTTTTATAATGATTTTTAAATTAATTATTATTAATTTGACTTACTCAGCTGTTTATTGTTTTATTGTCATGTTTTTTTTTTAATTATTAATTTTTAAAAAATCTAACCAAAAATTTTTTAATAAAACAATCTAATAAAAAATTTATTTAAAAAAATTAATAAATATTTATTAAAAAAAAATTTATTAAAGAAAATTAATAAAAAAATTATTAAATTAAAAAAATGAATTTTAGTTGCGATAGACAAAGAGATGGATCGCGAAGAACTGGAGGAGGAGGAGGAGGAAATGAAGATGAAGAAAGCGACGAAAATCCATTGGGAAAATGGCCACATGCACTTAGTCCAGCATTGGCTTGTCTCGGTTGTACCCTTGGATTGTTCAACATTAGCCGATTTTCAATCCTCAGTGTTCAATTTGGAGGTCAGTATTCTTCACAATAAAAAATACTTATTAATAAGTTTTAACAAATTGATGATTAATTAAACTGACACCTTTATACTGCAGCGAATTTCATCGTTCAATTCTTAGTACTGTCATTAGTACTGGGAATTCCCCTGCTAACGTTACAAGTGTGCCTTGGCCAACGTCTGGCTGCTGGAGCAGTCGACATGTGGAAGATATCTCCAGTTTTTCACGGAGTTGGCATTGCTTTATTAGTAGCGCATGCCCTTATCGGTATTTACAGTATTATAGGAGTTTCTTGGATGTTTGTATACTTCAGGTAACTTATAATTATCTAACTTCCAATAGAATGCTTTTTCATTTCTGCAAATTAATTATTTACAACAACTCTTTCCTTTTTTCTTCATCTAGGGACTCTTTTATCACCAAACAAGATAGATATCGATGGGCAGAGCCGTTTTTTCTCTACCGCGAAGACGCGAAGCCGATGAATTTGACAGTTTCGTACAAACTTCACGAGACAGTGCCTGATTACTTCAGTGGGGTTGTCTTACAGCGGCATCATTTAAATGAACCCAGTCCTGGAATTGTTACGCTCAAGTTCCAAGTTGCATTCAATCTTGCGGTTGTTTGGATGATTGTATTTGTTTCTTTAAGTAAAGGTATATATCAATTACATCCTCAATTATTTTTTAATCTTTTCTTCTATGTTTATTTTAATAAAAAAAATTTTTAATTATTTTTTTTAGGACTAAGATCGTACGGAAAAGTTGTATATGTATTTACATTGGTACCAGTCTTCGGTACACTGATACTTTGCACAAAATTACTCGGTCTTACACCTCCGGGTACGATTAATCAGCTGTTTCCAGCCACTGTTTGGAGCGAATTTTTTATAAACAGCAAATCTTGGGTCGCAGCTTCTTCTGAAGTTTTTCTAACATGGGGAGTATTAGGCGCTGCTGCTATGCAGGTAAATAATTAATGAATTCACTTTTATTTATCCAAATTAATCTCAGAAGAATGTAACTGTAATTAATTATATAAACTTTATAATTTAATTTATTAGATAGCAGCGCACAATAAATACAAGAATCTTCTTCAAAGAGATACCAGCCTAGTAATTGTGTTAACGATTGTTGTGCTACTTTTGTCAGCATTTCTAGCTAATACCTGTGTGCAAATCTTGAGATACCACGGGTATACGTACACGACTAGTTCTTTTGGTAATTTAAAATTTTTCAATTAAGTAAATTAATTCAAAGTATCAATAATTGGAGTTATTATTGGTATAATTGTTTGCAGAGAAAATATCCAGCTACGTATTTATGCGGCCAATTAATCAAGCACCGCCTCCAGGTTATGGTAATACACCTGAAAGGTTCATGTCCCACGCGTCATTTCTTCTTGGACAGCGGACAATAAAACCAGGCGCTGATCTTACTGCTGAATCTGGGTATCAGAGTCTTAGGTTGTCTACAGAATTAGTACCTGCGACCCTAGCTCTTCTTGGGGCTGAACAAGTCTCTCCTTTTTGGGCTGTTTTATTTTATTTTATTCTTATTCTTTTTGGAATTGCACAACAGGTAATTATTTTCTTAATTTTAATAATAATTTTAAAAATTTAATACATAAGTTGTTAATATTATTATTTTATTGACAAGCTTGAAAATTAATAATGATAATAATCAAAACTAGCAACTTGCAGTCACTTTGCTTTATTAAATAATGGCTTTTGTTAAATTGCACTTTACTTTCTTAAATATTGACATTTTTAAAGATATAAGCCCATCCCGATGTTACACTCATCAAGAGCTTTCATTTGAGTACCCACATACATTTTTATATATTTTTCATATATACATATATATATAATATATATAAATATATAAAAAATTGATGTGGGTACTCAAATGAAAGGTCTCGATGAGTGTAATGTCGGGATGAGCTTATATCTTTAAAAATGTCAATAGTTCACAAGATACAAGGTCATTTCTTAATTATGTATCTATAGATAAAACATTTTCGAACTAAAAAAAACTGATTTTATCATATGACAATCCTGGAGACAGAATTTTTCTTATTCTCTTAATAATATAGATAAAAATTATAAAAATAATAATAATAATTAATTTTCAGTTAGCAATATGGCATTGTGTAATAACGGGAATAATGGCAATAAATGCAAAAATGATGAAGCTATGGGAAACAACAATAACATTCTTCAGTTGTGCTTGCGCTTACATTCTCGGTCTACCAATGGCGACAGAGGTAAGAAGAAAAATTAATTATAAAAATTACACTACTTATATTCAAGTATAAAAAAAATTCATACATCTAAATATTATATTTGAAACTAAGCAAACAAAATGATTCAGAAAGATAAAAAATGTTATCTCCCAATCTCTTATCATTTTATTATTGTTATCAGTGTAAAGCAATTTTAATCAGTCTGCAAATGCACATCATGACGACAACGAACGCTTAGAGTTTAGTTACATAAAACAAAATTTATGAGTATATATATATATATATATATATATATATCAGTAAATAACAACGTCTGTATAAATATTATATCAATACGCGATCAAATCAATAAATTTACCTGGTACAAGCATTAAAAACCAAAAGAATAACTAAAACATATTCAGTTGCGCGTTGCTAGATAAAATGAACAACACAATAGACTTCAGTCCTTCGAGCTCGTCGCACCGGAGTATTATCAACTGTTACTACTGCAATGAGGCGGTTGATTACGAATATTGGCCCAAGCATGTTAAAATGTGCGGTGAAATTTTAGAAGAGTGTTCTTGTGGAGATTTCGTGCCGCGGAAGAATAAAATTCTTCATCAAAAACAGTGCCAAGTTAATTTAACTTCCGGAGAAATTTATCAGGCTGTTAATTCAATGAGCGCGGCGTTGAAAGAGGAAGAAGACGAGAGGAAGAAATCAGTGGACCAGCTTGTGTTGATGATCAGACAGTTGGAGGACAATGTGGAGTACGTCACCAAGCTGATGGACAGCTTGTGGAAGAGTGTGATGGAGGAGTCGTGTCAAGAAATGGCGCGGCACCGCCAGCAGCAGTTTTACTTGACGAACATCGACAAAAAGCTGAACAATTTGGAAGAAATATTGAACGGAGTTAAAGAGAGGACCAGTAAAAATTTCCAAGCACTCGCTTACAGGCTGGATGTCATCCAGGATGCAGTTACTGATAATCATCAGCGAGAGCTGGACAATTTTACTTGCGAAAGGATGGAAAAATTGGAAAGCGAGCTGAAGGATCTGAAGACTTTCGTCGCCAAGGAGAGTATTTTGATCAGCGACATTTGGGATGACCACAAGCAGCAGATAAATTGCATAAAGCATCAACTGGATTTGCGGATGAGTGAAGTCAAAGATAGCGAGCGTAAATTGCAGTTAGTGAACGATAAGATTGATTTATTGATCGACGAGCTCAAGTGCCACAGCGAGTGCATTGATAAGCATGAAATGGTTACCAAGTCGCTGAAATTCCAGCTAAAGAGCACCATCAAGCGTCTTGAAGAGCTGATGCTTTCAAATTTGGTGCAGAAAAATTTGTTGTCTTCTTATAACGCGGTTGGCAATTTAAATTACTTCAAGAACAGCAGGGAAGAAATAGTCACTGCGATTCCGATTACGCATGGCAGACTTTTATGGCGGATAGACAATTACTGTGAGAAAATGATCGAAGCTAAGGAACACGAGGCCGTTGTTAACAGCCCGACGTTTTTTAGCAGAGAATACGGTTATTTGTTGAAAATGGAGCTGTATTTGAACGGAAGAGACAGGTGGAAAGACAGGAACATCATTGGGTGCCTCAAAGTCGTCGAAGGCCCTTGGGATCCCTTATTAGAGTGGCCTTGTACTCTCCGAGCACGTGTCACACTTCGTGATCAAGATAATTCGGGGAATAATGTTAAGAAAATTGTCAAAACCAAAGCGACTAGGTTGAAGGATTTTAATAAGCTTGGGAATGTTAGAGACAGTGATTGTCGTATTGACTCGGCTATTGATATGTTCATTCCTCACACGGTTTTAAATAGACATGATGGATTTACTAAAAATAATTTGTTGTTCCTTGATATACAAATTACTGAACTACAAAGCAATCTATCAGCTTCTACGTCGGCTTTAGATAAATAGTTTTTAGGATTTACTTATGTTGCTATTTATAATTATTGTGTAATCTATCTTTCGCATATGTATGTTTGTATTAACAGTACTGATAAATTTAAGACTATTATATTTTTTTTTTTATTTTATTTTACTCGGTCTAAGTGATACCGAAAATAACCGACGGATTATTATGTCATGTAAAATAATAAAATTAAATTTATTTGTACTGAAATTTATGAAAAAATATTAATACTGAAGTTAGCTGACAATTTTTATAAAAAAAATTATTATTTTTCATTTTTGCGAGTAAAATTTTTTTATAATAATTTTATTGGATAAAATTATAAAAAAATTTCTAATCTGTTAACTTGAGTGCAATAAAAATTGAATTTTACCTGAAAGAATTATTTCTTCTTTTCCAGTTAGGTATCTACGTAGTGTATTATTTAGACTACACAATCGGTGGTGGTTGGTGGATAATTATTCTGTACCTCGTCCAAGTCGGCGCAGTCTTTGCAGTGAGAGGAAGGCCTCACACTGGAGAAGCTGTTGTTGCTGAATTATTTTCACCGACTGGAAGATGTCTCAAACATTGGGCTGGTCCGCTGTTATCTTTCACCTGGAATGTCATATTGCCAATTATGTTGATGGTGAATATTTTGCATTGTCTTGCTTGATAATTTACTCTTCAATAATTGATTTATTTGCAGGTATTAAGTATCACTTTGTTTCGGAGTAGCAACTTCCGAGAGCTCTATTCTTACAGAAGAAATGGAAAAGATTACTGGGCGGTATGGTCTAGGCAACTAGGAGCTGCTATGCAGTTGATTCCAATTTTAATCATTCCTGCTGTTGCTATCATACAGACTTGTCGGTATTTGAACAACGGACCACCAGATATTTTTGATGTAAGTTTGTATCATCAGAAAATGTAACTCTATATGTAAATAGTAGTATATTTTAGTTTTTTTTTTTTTTTTTTTATAGAGTTGAAAGTAGAAAATTTTTAGAATTTTGATGTTTAAATAACTGTAAGACATTAATTTTTGTTATGCTAACAAATTAGACTGAACAAACGGAGACGAATGATCATTGTGAACATTGTAATGGCAATGTAAGTTCTTTACTCTCCAGTTTATAAAATTTCTTCCATTTTATTTATTTAAAAAAATTTTTTAATGGGTAGTATAATTATTTAAAAATATTACTAGTGTTTTTAATGAATTTTTCTAAAATTTTTAATTAATTAAAATAACTTTTTTTAATTTAATTAAATAAATTTTATTTTTAAAATTTTCAATTATTTAAAATAATTTCAATATATTCTTTAAATTTTTAATTATTTAAAATAATTAAAAAAAAATTTGAATTAATTTTATACTTAATTTTTTCTAAACTTAAGAATTATTTCTTCTTTATTCCATAAAAAATAATAAAAAATCAACCAAAATTTTTTTACAGAGAATCCAATTGCTCTATCGTCCATCTCTGGAGCCAGAAAGTGCTCGAAGAAGACTAACCCAGTTACGTAATAACACCACAACGAGTATCCACCAGGACACAACAGGAATTCTACCAACAACCTCAGACGTCCCCTTTGAAGACCCTCCACCAAAGTACACGCCACCGCCAAGTTACACAACAGCAACGGGAGCGCGAATAGCGAAAATGTTGCGTCAAAGTTTCCGTCAAAGCGTCAGAAGAATAGCATCAGTCCTAGGAGAAAGCAGCGTTGCACGTACGAGACCAGCTTTGCAGCCTCCACCACCCGACTACGCGACCGTCTTAGTAGAAATGAATCACACGATCGTGTCGCGAGACATCCCAGTGATTCACACGATAGAATCGCGCCCGGACGTAGCTGATGTCAATCCTATAAGTCATCGCCACAGCCACAGCCACAGCGGTCCAATTATGGACATAAGAATTGGCTCGCAGACTCTGGACCGAGTTTCGCGAAACACTTTCGACAGATGTCCCGTCGAGAGGACTCATTCGACGATAGATCGGAATCGCAGACGCCTGCACAATACTGGATCCTCCAACCTGACCGCTGCCGACGTCGCTAATTTATTGAGGAGCAGCATCAGAAGAGGGACCAACAAAACTCATCAGACGCTGCAGAGAAACTCGCTGCTTAATCATCAACCAGCTCCGCCGATCAATGCTGCGTCCATTGAAAATCTCGTCACTGCCGCTGCGCCCATCGGCCAGGACTCCTTAGTCTTTAATAAACCTCTAGTCTCTGAACACCCTGTTGATAGTAATGATGATAATGATAATAATGTTGATAATGATATTAATATTGATAATGATAATAATGAAGATGATAATTACCAAGACAATGAAGATACTAATGACGTTGACGTCAATATTGATGTAGACGATGTTGAAAAAGATAAGACTGTACAAATGGAGTAACTCCGTTTTTTTTTTTTTTAGATTTATTATAATAATAAAGTTAGCCGACATTTTTTATTTTGTTTAATTTATTAAATTAGATGAAAATTAATTCAGCAGATATTTGATAATTTTAAGAATTTTTTTTACAAATAAATTATGGAAAGATAATTATAAAAAAAAAAAATTAACATGTAATTGAAAATTCAATTTTTTTTAAATAATTTTTTAGAACAAATTAAATTGCTTAAAAATTAAAAAATGGTCAAGTCACTGCTAACTTTAATGTCATTAAATTAGAACTAAAAAATAGTTTTTTTTTAATTGCACTCTTTTCAAATTAAATTAAAAGAAAATTTTGTTTGTAATAATTTTTTCAAGAAAAAATTTTTAATATCGACTGACTTTATTGTTTAGATTTATTGTGATATAATTCGCAACACTTGTATAAACATTGTAAAATTTGGTTATGATTTTTTAATAATTGATTAGTTATTTATCTAGTTTATTCCAATAGGAAGCGAATTGTATAGTTTTTTTTATTGTAGCTGTAATTATTATTGATAAAAGTTACGGATTGTTTTTTTTTGAAGAAGAAATGTATTATTTTGAAGCAATAAAAGAGCGCATTTTTGGTATATATGAAATTCTGTGAACATGTGTTCAGAAGCATTTTATATATTTATGTATGACACCTTGATGCCTTATCATTGAAGATGAATGTCAGTGAGCAAGAGCAAATGATTAAAATTTTATTATAGTGTAATACGTAATTTGGAGTATATTATTAATCAGCGCGCGCATTAAACAATCATCCGTCCAAAAAGTTAGAGGTTAGGAAGAAGATGATATTAGTTTCTTTGAGTAATGCAAAGATTGTAAATGTCATCGACTTCTTTTTGTGAGCGATTGAATGGTACTTTAATTGTTTGAACCAACTTGTACATAGTTATGATTAAAGGATAATTTTATAATGTGAAATGTGTTTTTTTATTGAATATTTTTATTTTTGGAAACCTTACCTATTTAACTCCATTTTTTTTTCAGCAATTAAATTTTTATGAAGACTTTATTTTTTCACCAGGTTTAAATTCGCGCACTAAAATCAGCTGACACTTGAAAATTTTTTTTATTTTATTCAACGAATTAATTTTTTATAGAAAATTATTTAAAAAAAATTTTATTAATAGTTTTCTAATATTCCTATACAAGGAATTTTTCTTTTAAAGTTTCTTTGTCACAATTAATTAGATGAAAAAATTATAATCATTATAAAATGTCTCTTAAATTCATTAGAATTAAATTTATTCTATTAAACTTTCACTATTTTTAATTATTAACTGTAATTAAACGAATTTATAACGCGGATATTTATTATTCGACAAAAACTTCATATTTTTAAGTTGACTGAAGTGTTTTAGAAAGAAGAATAAGTTTTTGCGCAGAGGGCGCCACCTGAAACCCGCGCAACTGTCAGTAATTTTTAAATTCTCCATTTTAAAATAATACTAAAGTTATCCGACATTTTTAATTATTCTTCATTTATTAAATTAGAATTAAAAAATATTTTTAAATAATTGCACTTGTAGTTTTTCAAGTTCTTTACAAATGAAATTTTATTTTTTTGTAATAATTTTTTTAATAAAAAAAATTCTTAAATTTTTTAGACGTTGGCTAACTCAATTTTCATATTTTAAAATTTAATTCTGTCTATCTTATAAATACTAATTACATTTACTTTTCAATGAATTTATCAAATTATATTTAAAATAATAAAACAATTTTTTTTATAAGCCACATTTTATTTTATACCATCAAGTATTACACATTAATATTTTCAGATTAAAAAATTTTAACTTGTATCTCATTATAATTACATACATTTTTCTCCAGTGAAATTTAAATAACCATATTTATATCAATCAATCAATATATATAGAATATAATTCATATTTATCCAAATATTCTTCAATTACAAACATTGATATAATTACCTAAAATAATAATAAAGAAACTTAAAACCGCAATAAAATAAAAAAAATAAATCTCAAGAAACTGAAATAAAATAAAATTTAATTCAAAGCCGTCGAAGTAAGAACAGCGACTCCGCGCTCATAAAAGCTGTGAGGTTCCTGATTGACCGCAGTGTTAAGATCAACAGTGAACAAAAGCTCAGTCCTAGTACTGTTAAGATAAACCGGAAGAGACAATTTTCCCTTCCTCATTTCCTCGGTCGAGGACCGACTCCACCTCAACATAGTAACAGGCAAATCAGTCATGATCGTCGAGGTCAAATACAGCTGATTATCTTTACACAGAGCACCCTGGAGCTTCAACCCAGTGACCGCGAAAGAGCAGTCATCAGTCGCGATATTGTCCCCATCTCCAATAGTAACATCAAGCTGGAGTTCTTCAAGCGACCAGCTGTTAGCCTGCGCAATACACTGCCTAGTCGCAGTGATATAAGCCTCAGGGTTCAACAACCCTCCCAGCCAGACCGGGAAGCTTTTGATTTCCTTAGCACCGCCCTGAGACACCAGCCTTGAAACTTCTTGCAATTGAGACACCCGGTGACTGAAGTCCGTGATCCACTGAATGACAGTGCACCCTCTAGGCACAGTGTATCTCCTCCACCCAGCGGGTAAAATTCCTTTCACCAACTCAGACAACATTGTGCGATGATAGTTAGTCTGTTTCTTTTCTCCCTGGCAGATCATCACCACATCTTCAAGATCATGGATCACATCTTGGAGTAGCTTAGCTCCACTATTAACCTCTCGCTCAAAATATCTATAAAGAGGATCTTTAATATTCTCCACAGTGCGCTTGAGCGTCTGCAAATTCTTAGGCAGCAATTGCAGCCAAGTAGTAGCTGAATTATAAAGCACTCGCATCCAGGAAGGTCTGCCATCAACATCAGCCTCCCTCGGAGTGTCTCCTCCCAGAGTATCATCAGTGGAATAAGCCAGCTCATCCTCGTCCTCCAGCTGCTGCATCTTCAGCAGCTTGGACACCAGATCAGTACCGCGAGTAGTTAATAACACCTTCTCCGCATTATTCGGGAGCCCGAGCCAGGAAGGAGTCTGTCTATCAGACAGCGACTCGATCCACTTCAAGAAATGGTCTCTCCTAGTTCCATCAGGCATGGTGATATGTCTAGGCTGGTTCCCTTGACTCCCGCTTCCACTGCCATCAACATTAGCCACCAGAGCGAAGTCTCCCTCGAAGGATCTGGGAGTAAAAAGCTTCCTCAAGAACGACGCGAGGAGCCGCTGGTCAAACTCGTTGTCTATTTTCCCTCCGTAGATGCACTGAGATAATAAAGTCACCAACGCGTCCCAGGGGACTTTCTCAGGCGGCAAATTGGTTCTTCCCATCGCGGTAGCTTCTATCCAGGTGTCAAGAGTGTCACAAGCGACGCGCAAGTCGCTCTCGTTGAACTCGTAGTACTTGGACCACCCTAATGGTGCGTAGCGAAGCCGCTCCTGGACAATTGCGTGGAACCAGGCGAGCAAGAAGTACAATCTCGCGCGCTCATTCGGCGCTTTCATCATTCTAGAAGCTGGAACCGTGCTAAAGGTTCTTAATAAGTTCGCTCGTATTCCCGGAGGTGGCTCAAAGACAAATATCCTTCCAGCTCGCAGTAAATTCACTGGAACCTTAGGGTTGATCTCCATGGTCAAGAATAATCTGAAGCCTGCATGCGGCTGCAGGCTGTGTAATTTTTTCTCTAATTGCACGAGCCACTGCGGAGCTAAGTGGACGTTCTTCAGCATCACCCATCGTCCTGCTTTTACTGCCATGTTTATCGCCCGGTCTGCTTGGTTGAATCCCTCCGCGGAGCCGATAGCTATACTGACAATCTGCTTGCCTAATTCCGCTGCTAAGTCATCAACGCGGCTTGAAGCGTCGAATCCTGGAACTGAGCAGAGCAATGCTGGAACCGCTGCTTTCAATTGGTTCTCCACTACCGAAGCAAAGTCTAATTCTACCTCGGCAGCTGCCATGAATTTGTCACCTAAAGCTGAGTTTATGAACAGAGCTGCTGCTGCGATTACCCGGTCGGGTCTGAAGGCTTGGATCACCAGCAGCTGATAGATAGCGTGGCCGATTGGTGACAGGACTTTGTTAGTTACTTCTTCCTCACTGTCGTCGGAGATTCTCTCTTCCCACAATTTAGGAACCGCGGTCTCTGGAGTGGGAGACTGTAGCCAAGTCGCGAACTCGCTGCTGTTTTCCTGGATGAACTGTGCCAATTTTTTGAACGCTGGGAGCCGAAGGCTGAGACGCAGCATCGCTTCTTGTTGCTCAGAGGTCAAGTTTGGTATCAGCGGCCCGCGGACGTTCATCACGCCTTCCTTGCCTCGCAGGAAGAAAGTGAACTCCGGATCGTAGGTAGACTCGCTGACGATTCCTTTCAAGTGGATGCGGCAGAGTAGTAAAGCAAAGGTCATCCTGTCGGCGTGTAACATTCCTCGGGCGACCCGTTCGTAGCAGACTGAAAATAAATCGCTGGTGATTAAAGACAGTCGTTGAGTGTAGTCTGATAGGCCTGTTAATTTTGGATTCTGGGACAAGACTGATGTGAAGATATCCAGGAACATTTTCAGGGAGTATTGGTACAAGAAGTGGATTTGGTTCAAGCTGTCCATGGTGAAGTAAATGTTGGAGCAAGCTTGAGATAAAGGCAAGTATTGATGAGAAACTGTTTCGATTTCTGCGATAACTTTGTCGGTTTCTTCGACTTTCTTGCTGATGTCTGCGGCTTCTTGCTTGAGAGTTTCTAAAGTGGTGATCACTGAGTCGTCATCTAGGATTTTACCTTTAGCATCATTCAGCGCTTGGAGAAGAGATTTTTCTAGCTGTCTTAGTCTCAAGTGGAATTCTCCTTGGAGTTTTAATAAATCTGAGCGTTTTTCATCAATGTCAGGGCGCTCTGCTTTGAGAACTTGGTTCAGACACTGGCTCTGCAGCGAGCTTCTGGTGACTGTGAAGTTAACGAAGGTGACTCGGGAGCAAATGTCGGGTGGGAATTCAACAGTAGGGTCGCGGGTTGATAAGAAAATAACGAATGACGGCGACAAATCGATGTCCTGGTCTCCGAGAGTTATCAAAACTCTTCCGCCAGTTCGACGAAGCTCGCGGTTCAGCACCGGGTTCAATATCGGGTCGTAGTTTTCGACATCTTGAACTAGAAGAGGGTTTCCGAATCGCAGAGCACTCTCGAGGTTCTTCCTGAAGGAGTCGTCCAAGAAACTGGTCTTGGTTATCTTCCGGTCCTTGAACTCGTTCATGATGAACTCGGTAGCTTGGCCAGAGGGGTCGATTATCAGCGGGTACCTGTTGAACCGCTTGAGCATTATCGCGTTTTCGGTACACAGGTCGTCGGTGGGAAGAGCATTCGCTTGCCAGCGAAGACGCTCGTCAGGGTTGGACAGATACTCGGTTCGCGCTATGTCTGGTCGGAATTGCAAGTTTGCGTTCTGCAGGTGCTGGCACCAGGTGGTGAACAGGTTCTGGCGGTAGTGCTGGTCGAAGTAACCTGCGTAGGCCAGGAATGCTGAAGACAGCAACACGTCGCCGATTATTGTGGACATCTGGCTACGGAATGTCTCGCTTGTGGCTTCCCATCTCTCGCGCTCGATTACGAGAGACTTGATTAGAGCTATTGACCGGTCTACTTTGCCCTGGACGTTCTCCAGGTCTGTTTTGATAGCTTGGGCTTGGGATATAAGTTGGGCGTACTCTTCTTTGTAGGATGCGATACTCAACTCTAGCTCGGCAATCAGTTTTTTAACTTCTTCGCCCTTTTCTTTGTTGGTTTCGGCTTGTCTTTCTAGGGAGTAGAGTTCTTCACGGAGCGGCTCCACACGTTTCAACATGTCAGCGTACTCGATCTAAATATTTATTTAATTATTAATAAAAAAATGATATTGTATCCAAACTCATCCTGATGTTACACTCATCGAGACCTTTCATTTGAGTACCCACATCAATTTTTCATATATTTAGATATATTACATATATGTATATATGAAAAATATATCAAAATGCATGTGGGTACTTAAATGAAAGCTTTTGATGAGGGTAACATCGGATTGAGCTTATATCTTTAAAAATGTCAATATTTAAGATAATACAGTGCAATTTTACAAAAGTATTGTTGTAAAATTATAAAAAATTTTTTTAAATATTCATACCTGAGCAATTGCCCATTTAACCATAGGTCCACATGCCATACTAGCACGATTTACTTTCTCGAAATTGTAATCAGGATTACTGAGGTACCGGTTCTTCATTTTTTCACGTACTTCGTCTCTATAAAATTAAAAAATAATTAATTTATAATTCATACTCTTAATATTAATTAAATGGAAAAAATAAAATTTTTACAAAAGAAATTATTCAGTCTATTGCATTCGGATTTAGTAAAAACAAGACACAGTTAATAAATTGTTAAGACAAGTTAATTTTTGAAAGAACATTAATTTGTTACAGACAAATTAGATTATTTGTAAATAAAAATAAAAATCACCAGTTGAAATGGCTTTCAGCTTCCAATTTAAGATCATTGTCACGGCAATTATTTAAATTTTTTAATAACAATTAAAGAGCATGCTTACGTAATATCCTCAGTACTGAAATTAGAGACGATAGTATTGATAAAGTTGTCTCGCATGATGACAGCACGAATTGATTTCCAATCGCTTGCATTTTCACCTAATAATAAACAAATTGACTCGAGGGCGACTTTAACAATCGCCGGTGGATTTGCCATCGAACGTACTTCAACCAGGTGTTGTTTCTTTATTGACTTCACCGCTAGATGCAAAAGAATTGATAAAAAAAAAAAAAATAAGTGTTAAATATTTACAATAGATAGAATAATTAAAAGTAGAAAAGAAAACATATAGTTAAATTATTCTAGAGTAATCGTTATTGACATCAAAGAAGCTTGCAGCAGCTTACTCTGTAAATTTTTATGTACAAAGTTAAGTACGTGTGCTGAAATACAATTATCGTGTTTGTTTTCTAGATAATAAAATAAGTAGTTATTAAATAGCGAGACGAGTAAGCTTAATTAATTTTTTATATCCCAGCCATGAAGACGTTGAACATTCATATTTACGAGTTACCGATCTTCTAGCGAAGATTTGTTCTTACGTTATGTCAGATGTGTTGAAATTAACTATCGTAGGAATAAAGTTGTCTCTCATAGTTAAGGCGCGAATTTGCTTCCAATTTTCCGCTGTAGTGCCAAGTAAAAAACATATTGACTCTAAGGCCAATTTAATGATCGCGACCGGATTCGCCATTGAACGGATTTCCACCAAATGTTGTCGCTTTATTCCCTTTACAGCTGTACTCGTTTATAATTTATTTATTAAATGATAATTTTAATTTTTAAATTAACTATTGAATAAATTAATAAACTAATAAATGAATAATTAAATTTATGTGAATGAATCCTATAAATAAATTACCATTCTGGGCGTCAATGACAGCTGGTTCTACTTGTGCTAAATCAGCCATAACATCTTCTCGCTTTTGATCAATAGCAACTGTCTGGATTGCTAATTGCTGTTGAATTTCTTGACTCTGTACTTTTTTCTTCTCAGCTTCCTGTTGATCTTTCACCATTTGTCGGAGTTTTGCATTAGCAGCATCGTTTTTAGCTTGAAGTTCCTTTAAAACAAAAAAATTATTTTATTTTTAAAATTAATTATTTTTTCGTGATTTTTTATCAAAAAAAAAAAAAAAAAAAAAAAAAAAATAATAATAATAATAATAATAATAATAATAATTCAGCCTATTTATTAATTAAAAATAAAAGTTTAAAAAAAAAATTACCTGTGACTTAACAGCCAAACTCTTCTGCATTTCTTCAACCTGTTCCACAGTCTCAGCAATTTTGCTCAACCCAACATTAAGATGCAGCTGCTGTTCTTCCAAATCACTCCTCTTTTCCTGATACAATTTAACAAAATGATTGATAAAGTCCAAGTAGTGCCTAGGAGTGATAGCCATCGTGCGACTTCCTCTCTTAGCAAGCCTCGCATTAGCTTTATGAAGAGTCTGATGTACATAAACAAACGCATTGACAACCGCATCTCGATGATTCGGAGGGTTAGGAATCAACGAGCAAGCTGACGGGAAGAAGTCGGGACACCTCCAAGAAGGTCTCTCCAAATCAACCCTTGACGTGAACTCTCTTCCCACCTGGAACAGCGCATTGTCCGACCAGTCTCCAAACCAATTTAGCACACAACGATTGAACAAAGCTGGTGAAGTAGCTGCGCGGTCTTTCAAACCATCTGTACTAGGATTCATTGTGAAAACAACATGCAAATTCTTCATAACTTGACCAGTGAACCACTTGTAGAGTTCTTCATTAGAATCCAGCATCAATCCTTCTCTCTGCGCTCCTTCTTTGCACTGAGTCATTAATGTCGTGTACTCATCTCCTTCAAACAGACCCGGGACTTCTCCGTTTGCTAACAAGGTGTTCATTCTTTCCAAGAATCCCGATTCTAAAACATTAGATTCGTCCAAAATAAATGCTATTTTTTCATCTTTGCACCCTGAGCGTCTTAAAACTTGTCTCAAGTCTTCATCAAAGTCCTCTCCGGTGTATTTATTATGAACCTTAATTTGGAAAATCGACAGACCATTCATCCAGGCTACGAACCTCGACAAAGTAGTCTTCCCAGCTCCAGAGACTCCAATTAGCAACAAATGTCCCTGAGGCTGCCTGAAAATTCTGTCAATCCTCAATACATGCTCCAGAACTTCATCAAACAGCACCAGAGGTACATCCAGCTCTTCTTCATAGAAAACTTTAAGCCTAGCGCGTACATAATCACGTAATTCTTGTCTATTAACCGGGACATAATCCTTAGACAGCCAGTTGCTGTATAAAATAGGCCTTGAGAGAGCTTTCTCCTTATCTACCCCCAAAAAGTGTTTAGTAGCGACAATATCAATGTTCTTATTCGTCCAAGCTCTCTCAGAGTCTTCAACAAGTCTATCCTGGAAGAGTCTCAGAGCTTCATGAGCCCAGAGACGAACCAGCCCTTCAACAGCCAAGCTGTCCAGCGGCCGAATAGCTTCACAGATTCCTCTGACCCACCTGGTCATCTCTCTAGGAGAATAAACGTAATGCGGCTGCATGTCCTGGGTGAATTTCTCCTGAGACGCTAAATAAAACTCCACCATCGCGTTAGTGAGCGGCTCTGCATATCCCCGCAGCGAGGGAGTTAATCTCAGCATTGCGCGGGTGAATGTACCGTAAATTTGCTTCAGAGAAGTTTCTCCGGGGTAGTCTACGTAGATAACAGGCACATGTCGCAAAAATCTATGGCTCAAAGGCTTTCTGCCGGGGTCTGTCGGAGGGTTGCAAGCTCCCACGAATTGGATCCGCTCTAAAGTGACCCAGGCTTGGTCGCTGGTTCTGTAGAACCCGCGATGCTCTACCAGCTGCCGCAAGAAGGATATAACTCTCTGGGTCCCGTAATTGTCCATGTCTGGGAGGTTTATTTCGTCGCAGAAGAGCACCAGCCACTTGCCCAATTGCACTGGAGATAGAATAACTCCATTGGGAGTTTTTCTGTACTCGCAATAGTGGTCGAAGGTCTTTAATAACAATTCTGGTGTTGTAGCAGAAGAGAAATTCAGTCCAACTACTTCCATGTCGGGCAAAGCTCTTAGAGCAGAGAAGAGAGTCATTGTTTTACCTGAACCCGGAGGCCCGCAAAGAACAAGAGGCTTGTGCTCAGCAAGCCAGGTGTAGAGAAGACTCTCGTGTCTTACAGTGTCCAGAGTGGGGACTACAATGTCAGGGCTGGCGACTTTGTGGGTCTCGACCTCAATTTGGGGGACTTTGTTGCTCCAAGGGAGCCACTCGCCGTGAATGTTGACTTCAAAGTCGATAATAGGGATGTTACTGCCTTGAGGAAGAGGTACTGTGGTGATAGATCGGATAAAGTCACCGAGATCAGACCTTACTTTTAGCTTAGCATCTCCAGCGAAGCTCCAGAGCAGAGCGTAGACCAGACACTTGGGCATGTAGCGCTCCAGCTGCTCGCTGGGCAGCGGGAAGTCGATGTGGGTGTGATTGTACTGTAAAATGTTGCGGACTGCTTGGTTCAGCATTGAGAAAAGCGAGCTGAGTGCTCGGAGTCGGGTGAAGTCCATAATGTGCTCTTGCTTCATCGCGTACTCCAGACAGCGGACCACTAGGCCGTCAGGCGCGAAGTAACTCTGGAGAATGCTGGCTACTTCGCATTGAACTGATAACCCAGGTGACATTGTGTCGTCTTTGTTGTCTCCGGAGAGCATCTTCTTGCTGAGGTTGTTGTCTTCGTCGTTGTCTTCGAGCGGGATGTTCTTCAGACGCAGCAAGTAGTGCTCGAAGATCATCTCTGTAGAGAGCACGTCTTCGGAGAACCAGACCATTCCACAACGCGATACAGTGGCTAGAGTTGCGTATTTTAAATCTTGAACTTCGAACATTACTCTTACGTTTGGTGGAAGGCTTAAACGCTCTCCGTTGGGCAGAGTCAGAAGTTTGTTGTCGTCCAAAACAGAGTTGAGATTTTCTACCCACTCCGGATCGACGTCACCGTCGAAGATTATCCACTGGCGTTTGTTTATTTCTCCACGGACGTTGTCGATTATTTTTCGCAGGATGTGTGTAAACAGACCGTCGGTCCACTCGCGGGTGTTGGGGTCTAAGACACCGTAGAGAGTCTCTTTGCTGATGGCTTTAGGGTCGATTACGTGAGCTACACCTTCAATTCCTTCAAAACGCTCCAGAGCTTTTAGAAGCACTTTCCATGCTGTTGTTTTGCCGGATCCGCTTGGTCCCACCATCATCAGTCCGTGGTTCAAGTTGCAAATTTGGTACAGTTGTAAGACCTGCAAGAAGATTATTTATTTTATTGGTTGGTAAATTTATGAGAGGTATTTTTTTTTTTTTTTTTTTTTTTTTTTTTTTTTTTTTTTAATAGGCCAGAAGCAAATAAATGGGAGTCAGCAGCAAGTTAAGAGCATGTTTTTGTTATTCCTCTCACCTTTTCTACCCAAGTTTCACCAACCAGCTCCTTATTGCGTGCATAAGATAAATGGTGATTTTTTTTATATATTATATATACATTTACAGTACTATGTATTATTAGTTATTAATTATTAGTTCAGGAGAAAAAATAATTTTTATATTTTAATAATACCCTGTTAAAATCTCGCATACAACTAGCACCGTGTACGTGCGTAAATATACGTGGGTATTTATTTAAATAATTAATCTAAACAAGAATAGTTGGACAATTGATAAAGTTAAAATTACCTTTTCTTGCCAAGCGCCTCCTTGTTCATCGTCGCCTTCACCACAAACTAGATACTCTTCAGCGCAAACTTTTCTAATTTGATCCTTCAATCCTAAAATAACAAAAAATATTGAGTTAAAAAATTTTTATAATTAATTTAAAATAAATAAATAAAAAAACAAACCTTTCATTTCAGCTCGAGTGTAATTTACGCTCGGGAACACATCATTAAGAAGACTGAACAGCAGCGGAATGTCTTCAGCAACTAACTTAGGAACCATCGTTTCACATACAGACTGAATAAGAATCTCCTGTTCTGGCAAATTCTCCGCAATAGAAGCTTCATCAACATTCTCTACTCCATTCCTCTGAACCATTCCCTCCTTAATCTTCTGTATCCTATCTCTCTTAACATTCCCCGCAGAAATCAGCACAGACTTCAAAGCCCGGAGCCCAAAATCGTAGTGCGACTGATTTGACAGCTGCTCATCACACAACTTAAAGAACGGTACAATCTTACAAGCGAGTTTCTCAGCAGACCTGAATCCTTGACTAAACAGCATAACTTCAGCAATGAGCTGCCTGTCAGGCGTGGTCATAGCAAGCGACCTGAACAATTTCTTCAGATTATCCGGCAAGTTAGACCTTCCAGCATACCCAGGGTTCATAGTTATAAATATCGCCATGTCAGTGGACACCTTCACCTGTTTCCCAACCAACTCGACACACAAAGTCGTTCCCTCCTTTTTAGTACCTTCCATCTGGCTCTTAAGAGCTTCCTGAATAGTCTGTACCTGCTGCGAGACAGCGGAGAGCATGCGCTCTTCCAGCCTGTTAAACTCGTCAAAGCATCCCCAAGCTCCGACTTGACAGAGACCCACAAAAATACGTCCCATAGCTTGGAAGTCAAAGGTCTCGTCACAATTAAACACCAACACAAACCTTCCAAGCTGATGACCCAACGCTTTAACAGATTCCGTCTTACCAGTACCAGCCGGCCCGAAAGGAGAGCCTCCAAGCCTTGCTTCCAGAGCTTGAGTCATCGTCAAGTAGCAGCGGTCCGTCAAAGGAGTTTGTACAAGTCTATCCTGAACTCCCAGGTACTCAAATCCGTAGAAGAACTTGGCATTGGCCATGTGAATAGTCAATTGTTGCAGGACTTCCGTCTGCCGAGGATCAAAATAGAACCTCATCTCACAAAGCCACTCGAACGCCTTCGGGTTGGAAACTTTATTCGCGATCAAACGTCGGGTGACTGTTCTTTTATGAACAAACTCGTTTATCAAGTGTTCCAACTTCTTCCGCCTCAGCGGAGGCTGTTCTTGAAGCACGGAGTCCGCCAGGACATTAAGAGTTCCTTCGACTTGAGTAAGTACTCGCTCTAGAGGATTCTTATCACTAGACTGTGACTGGGCTTCGTGCAAAGCCGCTTCTACGTCTTCCGACCACAAAATTTGAGCAGCTAGAACAACTATTTGAGCTTGATAATTGTCGCACCAGGTCATGAAAGCGTCAGCATGGATGTTACCATCCTTAAATTGCTTTATATCAGAAACAGCCTTGGCTAAAGAAGACGCTAGAGTCACTCTCATTTCTTTTTCTACTAGAGTCAGCCACTCGTTGATCTTAGGATGCTCTACAGTAGACACTGGAGTCTGGAAACTGACCTCTTCTCCTTCGCGAGAAGCCATTCCAGTTATCACTGTATTATCCTCATTCAATAAAATAGCAGCGACTCCCGCAAACATTTTTTTGAAATGTTTCTGAAGACGCGCGACGTTTTTACTGTTACCAATAATTTCCAACAGATCTTCATCTCCAACAAAGTAAAACCTGGGGAAAGACGTACGCTCGCGTTCAAGATACTCACCCAGAGCCTTTTGTATTTTCCCTAGTAAATCTGCGAGTCTCTCCAGCGCCCTCTGGACTCCAGGAATGTTCAAAACGTCCATCACCATCGGAGACTTGGACACTTTTTTCATCAATCCCAAAAACTCAGAACTGATACTTTGAAACCTTGAAGTCTCAACGGGTAAAAGTGTTTTAATATCAGCGCTGCCGGAGAAAATTCCCTCCAGATAAACCCAGCGTCTTTGAACATCAATCCATACGTCAAACAACGCGTTTATCCTATTTAATTTTTCCTCCCAGGTAAGAGCTTCTTCTTCAAAGACTTTGTAGTAAGGCGAGAGCTTCATAGCAGCCACTGAATTAATATGCTCCTTAACTTTGTTAAACAAATCATCCCAGCCTCTTATCAGCCGACACTTGCTCTGATAATTTATCAAATCGAGCTCATAAGTCTGCCAAGATTCGCGTACTTGCTTCAAGAACTCCTCAAGAGCCATTTCTCCCTGAGCGACTAGAATAATGTCCTTAACAATGCTCTCGTTCTTCTGCAGATTTACATCCCAGACCTGACCCAATGTAAGCTCACTTAAAATCCAGTTCACCCTTAATTGCTTCGTCAGTTGCTTCCAGTGGCGCTCTTTCAGCGCGTCGGACTTCAACTCAACAATCAGCATGTTAACCTTGGTGTAATTGTGGAGCATTTTTTTAACATACTCATAAGAAGAATACTGCCGCAGCCTAGCAGGAAGTTCCTTCAATTGCGCCATCATGGTATCAAGCTGCTGGCGCAATTTCCGCGGCTGAACAGACAACCAAGGCTTCTCTCTTGTCTCATCAATTTGAGCCCAAATTCGGGATAACTCAGACCAGACACCGCGCAAATCTTGAAGCTCTTCAAAAACAACCTGCATCCTGTCTTCACTGGTACTAGAAACTCCACCAGGTTCCTGTAACTCGAGAGCTTCTTTAGCTTTGGCAACATTGTCGCGTTCTTCTTTGAGCCTGGCAAATTTACTCTCGAACATCTGAAGCTGCTGGAGCGCTTCATCGGGTCTCAAGTGTCCCTCCACAGGCTTGCCACGCTCCCAATCTCCAAGGAAGTCAGTAGTGCGTGTCTCCACAGCCTTGTCTTCAGCAACAATCTTCATCTGCAGAGAAGCGACCTGGGTCTGGATGCTCAAGTCTTTGCGCTTTATTATCTCATTAAAAGCTCCCCACTCGCCTTCAATATTGTCCACATGCAGCCAAGACGAAGGAAATTGGAACCGCTGGCGCTCAAGAATCCGCTGACCTTCTCGGTAAATGTCCACTTGTTTCTCCCAGACCTTCATCTTGCGTTTCAATGATTGGACGTAAGTGATGAATCCTACTGCGTCGGTAGTACTAGCAGCTTCTATAGACTGCTGCTCCAAGTCACTGCGTGACTTAGATACCTGACCGTGGAAACTGGTCATTTCATTGCCGAGCAACGCGCCGAATTTACCCAGAGTCTCTTTGTGCCACGAGTCGTACTTCAGCGACACCTTGCTTTGTACCTTCGCAAAGTCAATGATAACTGGACCGAATTCGCGACGCGTGTCCGAGGTATCAAAAGTAGTGCGAGTTTTTTTGATGTCATTCAAGCACTTCATCCACAAATTGATATCATCGCCGAGCTTGCCATAAAGATTGTCGGGCTGGAGATCCCAGAGAGCTTGGTAGCGCAGCCACTGGTCTACATACTCTGCTACGTCTTTTATTTTTGATTCAATAGACTCGTAAGCGGCTTCTAGGGGTTGCTTGCCGCTCGGCAGCTTGGTGAGTAAGTTTCTGTAGGTTCCAGACTCTGGTTTGTCAAGCCCGACCTGGTACCGCGAGCTCTGCAGACGCACTTGCGAGGTGACAATCGCTTGCCAGGCAAACAATTGTTGCATTATTTGGAAACGCGCGTCCTCGATGCTGGGGTAGAGGTACATAGTCTGGTTGGTGATTCTGACCTCGTGGATTTGGTTCTGAATTTTTGGATCTCCACCGGGCTTGTGGGTCGGCTTTGCTGGAGCGTCGGTGTCCATGCTCAAGTCTACTTCCTTCTTCTGGCCCATCAGGGCGTCTGTCCAGGCCTTCACACCGGCTTCTAATCGTGCTGCTAGGTTCTTTTCTACTTCCTCGTCCAATCTCGCCACCCAGATGTGCAAGTTGGAGTAATTTTTCAAGGATAATTCGTCGACTGACTTTTGGATCTTTGCTAGAATGTCTGCAAATGTGTTTGCTGAGTAAGGACAAGTTTCTAAGGATCTTACGTCGACGTCCAGTTGCTCTTCGACTACCAGGAGGTCGTCGACTTTCTCTTGGAATTGGACAACGATGTCTGATAAACGCTGGACGTATGGGTCTAATTTGTAGCTCTCCCACACTAATGCTATTCCCTGTTTAATTAAACATATAATTATTTAATTAATTAATTAATTAATTTTGTATAATAATTATTGATAAATTACCTCTGAGAATAAAGAAAGAACATCTTTTCGCATTCCAGCAACCAATGGAATAATACTGGCCTTGTCTTCAATCTAAAATTAAAAATTTATTAAATAACTTGACTAAATAATAAATAAAAATAAAAATGCACTGATACATAATAAAATTACAGTACTAAAATACAACTCAATATTGTTAACAATAAATTTTTTAAAGCGATGCAAACGAAAATATATGCTAGAAGTATTCCCTGACATCAATTACATATTTTAATTTCAATTATTTAAAAGGAATACCTCTCAAAAATTACGTATTAAATAATACCACAGACTGTAAAAAAAAAAAAAAAAAAAACATAATTTAATTTAAAATAAACAAAGGGAGAGGGACAATCCGATGCTTTGTTCAAATTATAAATTAATTTTAATCAACGACTTTAATTAATAATAAGCAGGCAGACAGTTGCGTTGAATATTTTTCTGGCGGTAATAAACTACCTTTAATGTGGGACAGTGGGGACTCCGAGATGTAAGCTAAAAAATTACGTAGATATTTAAGATGGATTAGATCTATATCATCGATCTAATACTGCACATAAATATAAGTACAGTACACTATTTTTAAATATAAATATTAATATCAGTCTAGTATTAATTAATCAATCAATTTATATGAATAATTCTTACTTTTTCCAGAGTTCTCTCATAAGTCCTGATACTTTCAATAAGACTGATAGCAAACGGATACAGTTGATTCGCCTGGTGTGCCTTATTAACAATTGCCAAAGGCACACGGAACCCTAGGTTCTTCAAATTCCTGACTTCCTTCGACAGCATAATAATCTCAGGCAAGAAATTAACCTTCAACTTCAACACATTGCCCCTTCCAGACCTTGACCTGACAGTATCAATCGTAAAAATCCTTCCAGTGACTCCAATATTCCTCTGCTGAACTTTCCTCGCCCACTCGTCAAATATCTCCTGAGTAGAAAGCTTCAACCTGAAAGAATCTCCATCAGCTTTAAGCTTCTGTCCTTCAATGTGGCTCTCCCAGCCTTTTCCCAGAACATCTTCCACCCGTTTAAGATACATAGTAAGCTGATAGTCAATCTGCTTGACCCAGATGATAGACCCCGAGACCGGAGGAATGTCCCTGACCATGCTCATCTTGCAGCACTTACTCTGAGGATACTGAACCTTGAACTTCTCATGCAGAGCCTCAATATCATCCTTAACTCGCTGAATCAGCTGAGTCTGGTACTCGCGGATAGCACCGCGAATATGAGGCCTGACAAACAGGGCATTGAACCTGGAGAAAATCCTGAACATCTCATTGGCATTCTTCGCAGTTCCCAGCTGATCCCGAAGGTGAGCAGTGATTCTCGCTTCCACGCGTTCAATCCTCTCCTCATAGCGATGAACAGCAGCCTCCCAGGACTCGAGACCTTCTTTGGTGATGTCTAAGCAGTCCACCTCCTTGACATTCTCATAAGCGAGGTTAACTTCGCCAATGGCATTAGCATCAGCAGCATCAAGCGCGAATTCAACCTTGACATTTTCGCTTTCTTGATTGTCAATCGTACCCGCAGAGCTGGTGCTGTTCTGGCGAACGGTGGGTCTTAGCACCCGAACAATAACAGTGCGCAACTGTTCGTGCTGTCTTCTGAACCTTCGCATCTGTTCCATCCGCGTTTGGAGCTTCTTATGAGCGGGAGAGACTCGCCAGACCATCTTCATATGCTCGTCACGCTTCTTTTTAACAAAGTCACGCAAAAGTCCCGTTAGTTTGTCGTACTCGTCGTCCCAGGTGTTGAACACTTCGAAGCACTGGGTCATTACTTTCTCGAACTCATCAAATGGAATGTGCATTAGCCGACGGGTTCCCAGTACTTTTAATAACTGCTGGCTTAAGTCCCGAGAAATGGCTTCTACTAGACGCAGCACGCGTTGAATTGGATATTTAGTATTACGAATTTTACGCATGTGCAAAAATATCTGCTGGACTGCGGCTCGGATGCGTTCTAATTCCGTTGCAGACAGCAAATCGTTGATAGGAAAGTCTTTCATCAGAGGATTGTAATCATTGACTGTCGCTAAAGCTTGCTTGAGACCCGTGTCAGTATCAAAACTCACAGTCGCGTGGAAACGCTTTCCGTGCTTGAGAATATCTAACGTCAGAGTCACTTCTGTGCTCTCGCGCTTCTCCTGAATCCGGTGAAGAGCGCGCTCTAGGTTCAGCCAGAAGGAGATCTCTTGCAAAGCAGTTCCTGACTCCGGGTCTCGGTTCAGCTTGGTTACCTTCTGGATCTCTTTGATCCAACGGTTGACTCCGTTCTGCAGCTGGTTAAGGAATGTCGAATCCTCGACCTTGTCTCCGAAATCAGCGACCTTGGGCTTCCTTCCCTCGTCGGCACACTGCTTTATCACCTGCATCACAAGCTGGTGGACCGGCAAAGATATTTCAGGGATGTCGATGTTCTGCTGGAGGTGCAAAAGCCCCATTTCAAGCTCCGCGATTTTTTTCTCGACTGATGGAGCCATTTTGTCCCCGTCGCGGTCCACCCGACCGGTTTCCTTGACGTAACTCTTGAAGAATGGAGCCATGGTTTTACTAATTGCGTGCAAAGTTTCGTAAGGCGGGCCGTCGGAAAAGTTTACTAGTCGAACTTGCGAGGAGATTGATTTGTCGGCTTCTATGACCGCTCCTCGCTTGGTTAGTACTAAGGTCGACATTTTGGGGTTTGTGAAGTAGATTTCGGTGGAGATGTGGTAGGTACTGTCTCTCTCGTCGTCTGCTCCATCGCCGCTTCCATCTTCATCTGCAAATTTTTCTTGGGTTAGTTGATAATTTTTTTTTAATTGAAATAGTCAAAGATACTTTTTAAAAAATATTATTAAAAAAATTATTGACATTTAAAAATTTTATAATTAAATTATAAAAGAAAAATATTTTTTAAAAATTGCACTTACAGTTTTTTATAAATGAAATTTTTTTATTTTTTTTTTTTTTGTAATTTTTTTAATAAAAAAAAATTCTAAAAATTTTTAAATGTCGGCTAGTTTAATTTTCATAAAATTTTATAGTTTTAGAATTTTTTTTTTAAATGAAAAAAAATATACATGTAATTTATTTTAAATAATTTTCTTGAATTAATTTATTAAAATAATAAATTTATGTAAATTTAATTCAATAATTAGCAATCTGTCAAAATCTATTGTCGGTATTCTAAAAAAAATTATTTGCAGTATTATTAGACAAATAAAAAAAAAAAAAAATGAACCTTTTGTTGAACTGCGCTGGATACACAGTGCCCATACTTGAAAATCGCTGATAAATTTTCGAATATAATCCTGATGACTCTTGTCGTCAAGAGCTGCGATAAAAGCTTGCGGGACACCATCTTCCTCGGGCGCTAGGATTGTTATTATTTTACGCAAATAATTAGTAAAAGACGTAAAGTCAACAGTCGCTATTATTTGGGACTCTGGCGTGGGTTCACCAGACCCATCCAGTGAATCACCCATCCTGTTCAGCTACGTCTTCAGTTTAATAATTTATATTTATAATTATTGTTAATACTTAGTTATAGTTTATAATCTACACTTTTTAATAAATGAAATTATTCATTACTTAACTACACAGAAAAAATACAAAATTAAAAACTATCGAGCTCTGATCTATTAAATGTCAGAGTTAAATATTATTTAATTATTTAGCAGCAGCAATTCAGCTCGACAGCTTACTATTGCTCATCTTTTCTATATGGAAGAGAGCAAACAAAATGGGTGAATCGAACATCGAAGTCGATTGTTTCATCTCGATGTTTTTTAAAGTCGATTATTCAATACCTGTCATTTTAAAAAACAAAAAATTTTTTATTAAAAAAATTTTTTTTTAATTAATCACACACAAAATATTAAACTTAATGATTAATTAATTAAAATACACTTACTGTCAAAATATTTAAAGTATTATCACCGTAAAATATTAAAAAAATAAAATATAATTCGCGATATTCAGTATGCGCTTGCGCGCACACAGGTTAAGTTGTCAAAATAAATGACAGGTGCAAGTTTTATTTAAAAGCTTACTTTTTATAATTTCTGAGACTTGTAGACAATATTTTGGTCACTATTTGTTTAAAAAAAATTACTACACTTAAATTTGTGCTAAAACAATTTTTAACACCTAAATAACAACATTAATTACTTAAAATTAATTATCAATTATAAACTGCAGGGAATTACCGCGTAGCGCATCAACAACGACACCTATAATGTGAAATATTAAAAAACCAACTTCAAGTACTTCAAGTCGATAAGATCCAATTGTGACAAAACAAGAAAAAAATAAATTTTATTTTAGCCAACCTTACAGTTTTATATAGTTTTTCAGTGTGGAATGGTGATCCGTTGATCACTCCAAGTTTTGCTGTCATTAATTTATTAAAAACTAATAAATAAATAATGGCTACTCGCAAGGCTATCAAAGCCATTAATTGGTCCGCGATTGCCGAAAGGATTCAAGAGAGTGAAAAGCCCATTTTTGCTAACTTTCGTACTAAATCTGAGGGCTACCTCCGACGGTTTGTGTTGCACGTTATACCAAAATTCATTTAGTTATATAATTTTTTTCTACTGTCCTTTACCCTAATTATTTTATTTGTACTCCTATTTGTTTTTTTATTTATTTTCACTTATTTTTATAAATTAATATTTATGTGTAGTTATATATACATTTATATATTTATCATTTTAATGTTAATGAATATTTATTTAATAATTTATATTTAATTGATTAACATGTGATTATTGATTTAGCATGAACGAGTTCCCAGAAACAGTTCCAGCAATTGATTGGGCTCATTACAAAAAAAGTATTCCCAACTCAGCAATGGTTGACGAGTTCCAAAAGCAATATTCAAGCCTGTCAATCCCAATTCCAGCTGATAAGTACACTTCAATTGTAGAACAGCAAGAAAAAGAAGCGGTATTTATTATTTTTTTTCTATGTAAATATTTGTAAGAATAATTTTTAATTGATGATTTTTTAATTGTACAGGCGGAACACGTCAGAAACTTCATCACAGAATCTAACAAGCGAATTGAGGAATACAAAGCTGAAATTACTAAAATCAGTTCAATGATACCATTTGAACAGATGACTATGGAAGACTTTGCAGAACTGTACCCAGAACACGCATGGAACCCAGAGAAACCAACAATCTGGCCACACGACCCCGAGTACCAGCCTGGTGATGAACCCGAGCCAATTCCAAAAGGCGAGCACTAAATTTAAAGATTCAATAAACAATTGTCGATAATAGACAATTGTAGTACACTGTATAATAACTACATAGAATTTTTAAATAAATATATTCAACTGTCAGTAATTATTTATGACAATTGTTATTAATAATTCTGAAAATCAAGTCTCGGTTCAAGATTATTGTAATTGCTCTTGAGTGAATAAATTCTATTATACATACATATATATATTTTTTTCATCAATACCGAAGATTTAATTTTTTGACTTTTATTTAAAAATAAACTAGATCTAAAAAATTATTTTTAAAAAATTACATTTATAATTTTTTAAAGCTTCTAAAGATAAAATTTTTAAAATAATTTTTTTTTTGCCATAATTTATTTGTTAAAAAATTATGAAATGTTTTTTAATTTCAGTATTATTAATTTTTTATCAGAAAATATATAAAAAATTTCTAAAAACTATTTTTAAATAAACCATTTTTTATTTATAGATAGAAACAATAATTATTTTAACAAATAACATCGATAGATTACATTACATCAAGTTATATTTTGATTGTTAGTAATTAATAAATATATTTTTCAACAATAAATGCAGATCCATATACTCTGGTACTTAAAAACAACACTTTGAAACTATTTTGATTCGCGTATGGAAAATAAATATCACGGAAGCTCTAATTTAAAATCACATGCCTCAATTAAATATTTATCATAATGTCAGCTAATATTTATCCAAAAGTCTAGCATAAGTTATCGATACTGTGATTGATAAACGAGATGGAAATGTGCGCTGGAATAACTTTGATAGCTGAACGATAAATTGAATAGTTATTTTACACATATATAATCAAAAATGACTCGAGTCAATATTCAGTAGACTTAATAAATGACGTGATAAATCTATTGATATTTTAATAATTAAAATCCTTAATTTCGGATTTATCTTGATAAGGACGGAGCAATGAGTCCTTTGAAAATATCGAAACTATTTCCGTCAGGCTGAAGGGAAAATACTTTCCCATCTAAGCTCTGGACTTGTAAGTATCCATTGCTGTCTATTCCCAGAATCTTTACTTCTCTGATCGTACCATCAGGAGACTCGAAGCTTACTTGAGTGTCTCTGTTGAATAAACAATTAAAATACATTATTAAAAATTAATTAAATTAAAAAAAATTAATTTTTACTTACGTATGAAGCCAGTAGTCGTAGTAAAACTGATAGAAATGATTGACATTATCATTCTGAATTGAATTTATCAAACTTTCAAGTTGATTAAAAATAAGAGCAAGGAATTTTTCGTATCCAAGCGGCGCTAAGTTTGTACCTTTTTTCTCATTATATTTTTTAATCGCGTCGTTAATACTACTCGTAGGAGTACTGTTTGATAAATTAACTCCAAGGCCTAGAAAATATTTAATAAAAAAATTATTACGCTTTATTTATTATTAATAAAAAATTAAAAAATAACTACCAATATTGCAAATGGCTTCTGAAGACTCAAGAAGTGTTGGTACAATAAGGCCACCAAGTTTAACTTTATCTCCTAAATAAATATCATTAGGCCATTTAATATTTAGATCAATCTCCTGTAAAATAAAAAATTACGATTTTTAAAATAAATTTAAATGACTTTAGAGCTTAAAAATAAATACCTCATATCCAGGAATTGACTTAACAGCAGCAATAACAGCTACTACCACAATATGTTGTAAAATTGCTAAGTGATTACCGAGGTAACTATTTAATGGAATGTGTAATTGTAGCGTAAACATCAAGCATCCTTTTGTGCTCAACCAAACATTTTTGTTACGACCTAAAATTATTTTAAATTTTAAATTAAAAAATAATTTACAATTAATAATTAAATTTTTACCTTGGCCTTGCGTTTGCTGACGAGGAATAACAGCTAGTCCGTGGTGTAACTTACAGCCGGCAACTACGTCCATTGACGATGTCATTATATCTGCGTAAATTACAAGGCGTCCAAAGTCTTTGGTTTTGAGATTCTAAAATTTTACAACACTTAGCATCATTTAATTATTTTAAAATAATTAATTAAAAAATTACCTCAAAGTATTCAATAGTGGAAAAATTATCAGGGCAAGTATGCAGCATGATTGGTAAAATAGATGATGATGGTGGTACTAATTTATTAGTATTGTTACAAAACTGCAGCTTTGTTTTATTTGTCTTAAAAATATCATTTGCCTCCATCTTGTCTTTCAGTCGTTCCAGCATTTCCAGTTTAAGCTATTAGTAATAATAATAATAATAATAATAATAATAATAAACAATGAATTAATTAAAAAAATTTTTAATTATTTAAAATATAAATGCATAATTTAAAATAAAACAACTAGTTGTAAGTGTAGGTGAACTTCAATATTTAAAATAAAAAATATTGAAGTTAAAAATAAAAATATCTGTGCGGATTTGTGTCAGTAAAAAAATGCCAAACTACTGAAAAATAATTAATAAATTTGCGTATACGAGCCTCGTGTCTACCCAGAAAAAACCCAGGGCTAAAAGCAACATCTCCAGAAGCTACTGGCTTGACATCAACTCCCAGGTGAGAGCCGAGTAAGTCTGATAGAATTTCAAGCCTCGCAGGGTTGCTGGCTTTAAGAGCATTGTACTTTGCTTCTTCCATTTCATACTGCGAGGGATCAGCCTCGAGATGGATTTGAGAAAAAAGCGCTTTGCCTCCTGTGGTCGGCAGGTCTGCGAGGACGATGCTGGGGGTGTGCCAGGTTTCCTCGGCTCCGAGAACTCGTACTTGGAATGTGTGAGTTTTTCCCTGTTTGTCTTTTACAGTTGATGAGGCTGGAGTTACTGGTGTTGTCCTGTAATTAATTTTTTTTATTTGTAATTTATAATTGATAACAAATTAAAATTAATTAAAAAAAATTCAATTCAATTCAATTCAATTCAATTAAAAATAAATTAATTAAAAAAAATTTTTTTTTTTTATTTACTTGACATCTTCATGATCTTGAGAGAACCGTGATTTAATCGGCGAAGCTTGGTAGCAAAATATGTGGTGCATCATCTGCACATTTTTCCACTTGCCATATGAGAAACGTACGAGCTCATGTTCGCGTACTTCTGCAGTTTTGAATGACGGCAAGAGTGTATGCAGTGCATCCGAACATAATGCCAATAATTTTCCACCTTCGACAATGTAGTTGACTAATTGCGACGCTATTTCACTGTCAACGTTACCGCATACTACCACCAAATTCGCCTGGTCTTTCCAAACATCTCGGCGAGCGTCTTCCGGAGTTAATTTGTAAATAATGTACCTGTTAAAAATTAAAATACAAATTTATCAATAAATTTCATTAAAAATTATGTTAATTAAAAAATTACTTTTCTTTATTCAAAGTTTGTTTCAAGACTCGTTCGATGTTATCACTCGCTAAAGTCGAGTCAGCGTAAATTAAAACGTTGGGCGGCTTACCGGGTTCTGGATAATTCTGAAATTTTCTCTTTTCAGAATACCTGTAAAATAATTTAATAAATATTAATAATTTTGAATTAAATTACAAAAATAATTTAATAAATATTATTATTTTTTAATATACTTAAAAAAAAAAAAATTATACATTTTTTAGTGATATGAAAAATTGCGCAGTAAAATTATTTCAAACACGAGGGATTAAGTGAGTTTAAACCTTCTTGTAGACTGTTTGAGGAAAGAATGAGCATCTATAATAAATATCTCAATAATATTACTATTTTTCAAGGTCTGAAAAATTACTGCGTATTTACGGACAGTTACAACTACTGGCGGCACCTGTTTTATATTCAAAATAATAATTACATTAAAAATCACCGGGTTGGGGGTCAATGTCTAAGCTAATATATGTGTTGTAAATGTTTGATTAGACGATACAATGAAATACTTATTACTTTTCAGCACGATTTGTGTAAGACGTATCAAAAGGATCCCCTTTGAAGGTCTTCGGCAGTATTCTCTCGCATAAATTGGCATCTGAAGAGGCGCGGGACTTGGTTTTATCTTCCTTGGGTTCATCTTCGTCGATATTTTGCGTCGAAGAATAATTAGAGTTAGCGACACTCAGCTGGTGATCTGGAGTCTCTGAATTACGGCTTAGAGTCGTGTTGAGTTCATTACTGGACATCTGCAAGCTTCGCCTTACTGAGTCGCCGCGGTCCATCATACTTAGAGATGCTGGAGTTGGTGGAGGAGTCTTAGGCACTGATGTGCTGTCTTCTGTTTTGAATTCTTGGGCTTCTAAATTATTTTTTTTTTTTTTTTAATTATAATAGTTAATTTTATGAAAAAATATTATTAAATAAAACTTGCTCAATAAAAAATCATGAATAAAATATTCAAAGCTAAAAATAATTATTTTATAATTATAAACTATAAAATAATTTATTTACCTAAAGTATCATGTTGATGATTTATTTCTAAAACAGTTGGAATTTGTAATGACAATGATCGAGTACCCGGTGAAACAATTATTCCGGGTAAAGTATCCACTTCAAAGGGTTCTTTTTGCTGCGATACACGTCGTGCTGTACTGCTGAATAATTTTAGAGTTTCCATATGAGTTTTCCATTGAGCTTTGCCGACTAGTTCTACAAAAAAAAATTTTTTATAAATTAAATTAAAGTTACTAGAAGTTTATAATTATAATTATAATTACTTTTATTCCACAGGGAAGATTGATTTATATTATAACTGCAAGGCTTTCCTGATACCTCAACAGCTGCAATTTAATAAATAAATAAAATATAAATCAGTAATACTGATAAAAATTAATTAATAAAATAGTAAGAGAAATTACATTCAATACGCGTAAGTAAAAGTCCATTGTTAATAAAGCAAAAGCTCTCCATTAGTGCTATTGATAATTTACTCATATGATCAATATCAGTTTCCATTATAGCAGCGAATAATTTATCAGCAGTCCATGATAGTAACAATCCATAGTCTTCTAACTAAATAAGCAATAGAATAAGTGTTTAAAAGGCCGATAAGTGTACAAGTTATTTAAATAGCTGATACCTTAATTGTTCTAGTAAATGCGCTGGGATTAAAGTTGTTAATATCCGCCTCGATTAATAAGTGTACTTTTGAATCATCAGCTAATTTTGTTTGATTACAATTATTCACACTTAATGGAAAATTCATTTTACCGAGAGGATAAACCAACCATTCGCTGACATCTATTTTTTGCTGTTAAATTATTTTATTTATTAAATATTATTAATGTAAAAATTTGTGATATCTAACTAAAATTGAGATATCTAATAATTTTTAAAATGTTTTTTAATAAATAAATTGCAAGAAAAATTTATTTTAAAAAATTTTATCTAAAAAATGACAAATGCAATTTTTTAAAAATAATTTTCTTGACTTAATTTATTTTTTTAAAGAAATATAAAAAATTGTCAAGTGTCTGCTAACTTAAATATCATAAAAAATTTACCTGAGGAATTATAATACACAATTTGTTATCACCAACACTCCAAATTAGTTTAAAAAGTTTGGCAGTATTTTTGTTAGAACATAAATGTGACGTAAGCAAGTCATGACTGGTTTCACTATCAGTCTGTTTAGAATTGACATCTGCAGTTATTAAAATTTGTATTATTAATAAAAAATAGAAATTAAAAAATAAAAAATAATTACCAGACTTAGAAGAATCTGAAGATTTAATATGACACATCAAAGAAGGTTTTACATAATTTGGTAAGTTATCACTGTTGCTGCTGTTGAGCACTCTGACGAGGTACGTCCTCAGAGGTGTCAGTCTCCGTGCTCTTGCCCAGGTTAATATCATATAGATAAATGTCAACAGCATGCTTTAATTTATTATTTTTAATAACTATTGATCGAGTTTTGGTCACTCCAATTAGTTGTACTTCTGAAATAAAAATGAGACTAGTGACAGATGATGGATAATTTTTATTTTATAAATTTTAATAATTAAAATATGAATAGACATGTCTTTAAAACTATTAATAAGTTATTAAAAAAAAAAAAAAAAAAAAAAATTATTGAAGAATTAACTTACATGTAAATAATTTAATTTTTTGGAATGTGACAGTGCATTTTTATTTTGTTTATTAAAATTGTTTTATGACATAACAATTAAAACATGTCTGAGTGTTATTGATGATTTTCAATTATTACTTAAGTTAGTGTTGTCTTTAATATAATTATTGTTTAATTGATTGTTAACTGTCAGTGTCACTGAACCACTTCTGTAGCAATAGCAACTTGTTTTATATTTGTACTTAATACGTAAATTAGTGTACGGTCATGTGTCGCAAATTAGAGATCAACAAGAAAATGGCGAGTTGCGACATCTGGATTTCTATAACATGCAATTTTTTTTATACGGACCAAATTTTTTTTTTAATATTGAAGTTAGCTGACAGCTGTCAATTTTTTAATTCTTATAATAAATCAATTACAACAATTAGTGCTTTTAAAAATTTTCAATAATAGTTTTTATTAATTTTCACATGTGAAATTTGTTTATTAAATTCTTTTCATTAAAATTAAAGTAGCAGATACCTATTTGATAATTTAAAAAAAAAATAAATTATTGCAAAAAAAAAAAAATTGAAATGGAGCAATTTTGAGAAATTAAAAATACAATTTTTTAAGAATAATTTTTTTGGATAAATAAATATTAATAAGATATAGATTTTTAATTATAAATTAATGGATTAATCAATAGGCATATGGATGATGAACCACGTATTTTATTTAAAAAAAATTGTACATCTGCAAATGAATAAATTCAAAAGATAGTTCGTTTTTTTTACATAATTATAATTTATAATATATCATATATCACGCATCAATTGTCAATTCGTAGATATTACGATTAAATATATCGTTTAATTAATTATTACGTACGTATATTTTTTATTATTTTTCAATTACTTCTATTATTTATTTTTCATTAAACACTGGGATACTTATAGTTGTAATTATAATAATTTTAATTTATAATTTATAAGTAAATTCGCAGCCGAAAAAAACGTACTTAATATATTTTATTAATACAAGTGATATCTATTTTTTTTTAACATTTAAACCCAGACAAAAAAGCATTTTTATAATTTATTCAGTCTACTTGTACGCACCTTGATAATATATTTTAAATTGTAATAAATTTTACCGAACACAATTACATGATAATTATTAATAAATTCATCAACTTTTAATTTAACTCTAAATTCTTTTTTAATATTATTATTAATAATTATTTTTCACTAGGTGTGGCTAAATTTAAGTCATTATGTGAATGCGACAAAATATATACACATATACATATATGATTAATTATTATTTTTGTAACTTAATTTACAAATGACGATTGCACTTGTCTTTTTTTTTTTAATTGTTTATCTTTCATTGTTTGGTCAATTTTTATCATTTATTTCCTAAAAGTTATTTTCAATCTTTTATAATTCACACTTCCTTTTTTTAATTATATATAATCCAAATAATTTATTAACTTTCAATTATTCCCAAAAGTGTGTAAATAATTAAAAAAAAAAAATTTTATTTTTTTTCTAATTAAGTAATAAAATTTAAAAAATAAAAAACATTATTTGCACACCCTTGATTTAATTAAAACAAATTATTTAATAGAGTATGATTATGCACGCGAATGAAAATAGTATCATTTATAAATGAACGTATTATTTACATTACTTCAAAATGCACTAATTCGTCGGTTAATTAATACAATATACATATATATTTTTTTTTAACTCTAATTTTACGTATTTACAATAAAATCTTATAGATTTTTTAAAAACCTATAACTGCATTTTGTTGGCAGTGTCAAATGCGAAACATTTATACTATTTTTATAATTAAATATAAAAAAAAAAAATTAATAAAAGAGAGTACATATTTATAAAAACTTATAAAATAAAAACAAATAAAATAAATGCAAAATCGCATCTACTTTCAGGGACTCTGAATTTAACAGTAAGTCTTTCTAAACTTTAAAGCTTTAATTTGATTAGTAAAAGAAATATAAAAAAAATTTTTGGTAATTATTTACAAGTGGAGTAAATCATTTTTTGGCCTTATCTAATTTTTTAATTTTTTTTTTTTATTCGAAAAGTTGGAAAAAATTTTGACTCTTATGTTTTTGGATAAAATTTCTATTTTATTTTTTTTTTGATGGATTTTTTTTTTTAAAGTATATAAAAAAACGAATAATTCAAAAAAAAATTTCTAAATCTTTTTGAAAATTTGTTAAAATTGTAGTAATTATTTTTTTTTTTAAATTGTTCATTTTTTTATGTATTTTTCAAAAAAAAAAATATATCAAAATTTTCAAAAAAAAAATTTTGTTCAAAAAAATGAAAATTAAAATGGTAGACCCCACTTGTAAATAATAACCAAATTTGTTCGACAAATAAAATCAATAAAATAGAAGCGTAAAAATACAATCTCTTGTACTATTGATTAAAAGATTATTTGAATCTAGGCGTAGGTCAATGCAGTTATAATTACCTTTAAATATTGTTTAATTAATGTAATTAATTAATATCTTTTTTTTTGTAACTAACGATCTAATCAATAATAGTTAAATTGGTCCAATACAAATGTTACTATTATTGATAGCTAACAAATAACTAGTCTCATAGTCTAGTCAGTACATCCATTAACTTAAAATTGTCATAATGATCGACGTAACATGCAGTCTTATATCATACATTACCATGAATTACAATATTAGTTTTTTGTCTTCTATTATTCATTTTATTTTGTTATTTTTCAGCTTCTTTATTACTTATTTATGTAATACTTTGTTACCGACAACAAGTCTACTTAAAAATGAGCAAAAATATAAAAATAACAGCCATCCGTACTTAAGATTTAAGGTATTGCTATAAATAAGTCCGTATAGGATTATCGATTAATTAAAAATAATTCTAATAATAGTAAAAAAAAAATCTTGTCATGTTCAAGTAATAAACAATAGTCTCGTTTAAATAAATAGAAATTAATTAGAAGACTCGAAAGCTTAAATGTCATCGTCAATTCGTCTAACTGTTGAATATTTACACAGACGCACGCAACATTATTATTATTATTACACATTTTATTATCAATCAATGATTATTTTCTGAATACACGTCGGTGTCTCGGTAAATTCATATAAATCTAGGCAAACCGGTGTTGGAGCGATGATACATATAGGGATGCGGTGGAAGCCCGGCGTAGTGTCGCTGACGCTGGTGAGACAACAGCGGGTGGTGAACCCCGGCGGAACCAGGTCCAGGAACAGGATGTAGGAGGTGAGACGCGCCGTCTCCAAGATCCAGCTCCAGTTCTTGCTGCTCTGCTAGCTGGAGAGCTCCGAATGACGCAGTGGCCATTGCTACGTCGGGCATTATTCCTGATAAATGGCCCTCGCTGCATTGATTGTTCGGTGACTGCTAATTCAAAATTTTTATTTAATTTTTATATTTGGTTGTTTTTTTAGATTTTATACTTGAATAAATAAAATTTTGCTTTATTAAGTCATGACTTTTGTTAAATTGCACTGTACTTTCTTAACTATTGACGTTTTTAAAGATATAAGCTCATCCCGATGTTACCCTCATCAATATCTTTCATTTGAGTACCCACATGCATTTTGATATATTTTTCATATTTACATATATATAAATATATGAAATATATGAAAAATTGATGTGGGTACTCAAATGAAAGGTCTCGATGAGTGTAACATCAGAATGAGCTTATATCTTTAAAAATGTCAATAGTTCACAAGATCCAAAGTCATTTCTTAATTATTGACATTTTTAAAGATATAAGCTCATCCTGATGTTACACTCATCAAGAGCTTTCATTTGAGTACCCACATGCATTTTTTATATATTTTTCATATATACATATATATATATATAAATATATAAAATATATGAAAAATTGATGTGGGTACTCAAATGGAAGGTCTTGATGAGTGTAACATCGGGATGAGCTTATATCTTTAAAAATGTCAATATTTCACAAGATACAAGATAATTTCTTATTTATGTATCTAGAGATAGAGCATTTTTGAATGCAACCTAAATATTTATCATCATAAATTAAAAAATCATCAAATGTCTGCTCATTTGAGTATCATAAAATAAAAAATTTTATTTTATTTTATTAACATTGATTATAAAAAAATTTAAAGTATTTTATATTACCCCACAAAACCTTTTATGTACCATTAAAGTCCAATAATGTAATAAAATAAATTACCTCTCCTGGAAGCCTGTAATTCTCTCCCTCCGTAACAACAGCAGGAAGTTCGTGTCTAATACCATAGGACGAGTTTGGCCGCGGGAAAGTCATATTTCGGCCGTAACAGACTGCAGAAGTGCCACTGATATTAATGCTATTAGTACTGACCGGCTCCAAGTTTTCCATATCTGTCATAGACTCCTCTTGTTCAGCGTTGTAGCAAGCAGCATTCTACAAGAAAAATAAATCAATGAATTAATGAATAATATCTTTTGTTGTCACTAAAATTAATCACTATCCTCTTTAATATTCCGCTGTTTTAATATGCTAAGTGCGTTACTTAGCATAAATAATAGATAAAAAGATGCAATAGTAAACAAATATATCCTTGCAGTTTATGATTGATAATAATTTTTTAATAGTTAATTTATCTTAATACTTTAATAGTTATATTCATAACTAAGTGTATAAATTCTTACATATGATAAAACAAATTTATTGTATTAGTCACATATGTTTGTATACTATATATAAATTCATATATATTGGCTACGCGTAATTGTTACACTCGATAAGATTATTTTATAAAAATTAACTAGGTCAGTGCATTTTCGCAATAAATTAAAAATATTGTAGACATTAATAATTAAAGATAGTAAAAAAATTTTTTACACTTAAAATTAATAATTAGCAATAAATATTTAATGTGAATTTTTTAATAAGTAACGAGTTAAATATTATGTGTGAAGTGGGAGACGTTTCCGAGTTACTACCTCCGGAGGGAGAAGAATCAGAATGTTAAGTTAAACTAGTTAAACTTAGAGTGCTGTTTAGTTGTTACTGTTTCTTCCGTCTGACCTGATGATACAATTTCTAACTGGCTGAATTACCATTGAATAAAATAATTACTCGTTTAAAATTACCAGGCTTATTATAAAGAATTATCATATATTCAGTAAGTTTGATTTTTATACGTAAAAAAAAATTTAATCATAATAAAAAATTAACTAACATAAAAAATATCGTCACAATAAAATTGTATGTAATTTAAACAACATAACAATGACAGTATTTTATAAACACGAGATCTAAACACACGTGTTCAATTTCCGCATTATTTATGCAACGTAACAATTTATAATTGTTTTTGTAATAAGATTTTATCGTGAAAAAAAAATATTTTTGAGTAAAAGTTTATTTGCATGTCACTTTAATATTTATAGCTCTTACTTATTTTTATCTTTTATTTATTCAACTTATATTCATTCGAATTTTAAGAACACTTCAGGGTCAATGTGATAAGCGAACAAAAGCTTATCGCTAAATTTAAAAACATAAAGACGTTTGTTAATATTTTAAATAAAAAAAATTTTAATTGACAATTAATAAGCCAATAAAATATTTTTTATATAATAAATTTTAAATTAAATGTTCGTGAGTGTGATAAATAAAATTACATCGTAAAATTTAAGCTGCGTGATTATTGTAATTACGCTTTATCACTGACAATTCAAAGTTCATACATATAAACATTAATAAAGTGTTTCAATTAGTTAAATAAAACTCTTTTTAAAAATAAATATTAATTTAAATTATTAAGAGAACAAGCAAAATTTTGTGGCCAGTGTATTTATATGATAAAATGGATTTTTATGGTTAAATTTGGTGTCGTTGGAAAAGTATTGATTTCGAGTTGTGCCTTTTCATGGTTTCATATCGTTCTCACCAATAGTCAATTTATGATGATAAGTATTTAGGCTGCATTCGAAAATGTTCTATCTCTAGATATATAATTAAGAAATGACCTTGTATCTCGTGAACTATTGACATTTTTAAAAATATAAGCTCATTGTGATGTTACACTCATCAAGACCTTTCATTTGAGTACCCACATCAATTTTTCATATATTCATATATATTACATATATTTATATATGTATATATGAAAAATATATGAAAATGCATGTGGGTACTCAAATGAAAGGTCTTGATGAGTATAACATCTGGATGAGCTTATATCTTTAAAAATGTCAATAATTAAGAAATGACCTTGTATCTTGTGAACTATTGGCATTTCTAAAGATATAAGCTCATCCCGATGGTACACTCATCAAGACCTTTCATTTGAGTATTCACATCAATTTTTCATATATTTTATATATTTATATATATATATGTATATATGAAAAATATATCAAAAATGCATGTGAGTACTCAAATGAAAGCTTCTGATGGGAGTAACATCAGGATGAGCTTATATCATTAAAAACGTCAATATTTAAGAAAGTACAGTGCAATTTAACAAGAGCCATTATCTAATAAAGCAAAATTTCATTTATTTACAGTTCACAAGTCACGGCAGTCACATAATGACTGCAATATTGCTAGTAAATAAAATAAATATTTAATTACAGAAATGCCAGAAAACGGAGAGACGTTACCAGTAAAAAATTTAAAGTCATTATTACAACAAAGTTTGGGAGATGACATCGAAATAAAAGAAACAACATGGAAGCATTTGACAGACCCAGGTGAAAATTTTGGCAGTTTAATTTTAGCGATTGACGTAACAGTCGATCAGAAGAAGAAAAAAGAAATTCTTCATGTTGTAACAAAATTACCACCGCCTTCAAATTATCTGATGAAGCTGTTCGACAGTCCGTTTTCCTTCAGCAAAGAGATATCATTCTACCGAGACTTAACGCCAGCGTTTCTGGAACTGGAGCGTGAGCTCGGTATAATAAATCCCGAAGAAACTTGGATTGGCGCGCGGTACCTGGGAAGTAGACTCGGATTATCAGATAAATTTGACGACCAAGCGTGCATTGTTTTGGAAAATTTAAATTACTCTGGATATAAAATGATCGACCGTCTTTCCGGACTCAATAAAAACGAGACCGAGTTTGCAGTGAGAAAGCTTGCGCAACTGCATGCCATGACAATTGCTATGAAGAAGGTCAAGCCGGGAGTATTTAAAGATTTGATAATGCCAGCGCTGAGCAGCGTTGTCAACGAAACTGCCCATCAGTGTGTGGGCGACATGGTGAAAAAAACCCTCGAGCACCTGGAGAGCATCCCCGAGACTCGCTCGTACGTCGAGGTTGTCGCCAAGTCGATGGAGTTGGCTGGAAAATACGAAAGCCGCCAGGTAAAGGATGACAATTGGTGCACGTTGACGCACAACGACTTCTGGGTCAACAACATGATGTTCAAGTTTGATGAAAACAACAACCAGGTAGTTGACATGAAGATGGTCGACTTCCAGCTCTATGGGTACGATTACGGCGTAAAAGATCTGATTTTTTTACTGATATCCAGTCCTAGGAATGACATCATTGAAGATATCTTTGACGATATGATAAAAGTTTATTACGAGGCTTTTATTGACGTTCTTGTTAAGTTGAATGTTGATTTTAGCGAGTTTAATCGCGATAAGCTGATTAATATTGTCGAAGAGTGTGCGCCCTGCAAATTAGCACAGTGTCTTATGATGACGCAAGTTATTAAATCCCAGCCGGGTAAAGCACCGAAGATGGAGTGCATTGATGGCAAAGATAGTTTTTTGCAAATTGGAGGTGGTAAAGATCATTACGATAAATTATTATTGATATTAAATCTATTCCGACGAAGAAACTGGCTTCTAGCTGATAAAAACTGATTTAAAGTTATTCAGTTTATTTCATCTATTAAGGAGTTATATGAGTTTTAAAAAATCGATTTTTTTTTATTAAATTCTACAACATCTCTAGAATATTGTCCTAAAGTTTCAAATTGATCCGAATAATAGTTTCGGAGATACAGTTTTAAAAAATTACTATTGTATTGTCACTCAAAACTTTAAACGCGTTTTTCTCAAAACTATGTTTTCAAAGACAGTTGTCAAGATTTCTCGAGAACTACTCAACCGATCTTGATGAAATTTTAAACAGGTATTTGAGATATAATTTACAAGGTCTTGAACGAAAGATTTTTTTTTTTTTTTCAATTACAACTATTTAAAACTATTTAAAAAAAAAAAATGCCGCGAAATTTTTAATTTTTTTGTAAAAACCTCTGCCAAAAATCCAATTTTAATTTTCTTTCTTTTTCCTTCGTTCAAAACCTAGTTTGAAGTAACTAAAGCCCATATTTTTTTTTTCACTTCAAAAAATTCTGCTAGGAGTTCTGCTGTCCACGCGGACGCATCTTTTTTCCAAGGGCTCGCCGGAAATGACGTCACATTAGCAGAGTTTTTAATATTTTTTTTTTAATTTTCAGTAATCCCTTATTAAACATGTATCTTTAAGACAGTAAAAAGTTTGAATAAAATATTTCATTTTTTCTA